ACATAAGCGTTAATCACCCAAACCAATTCACCGAATAAAAGTGACTCAATAAACATTTTATTTCAATCAAATCTGCAGATTAAAGCAGCCACAGGTGAACATCTAAATGCAACACACTGGTTTAAGGACAAGCTGAAACGCTGATTTTATGTAAATATTTGTTATTCTTTTATAATGTTTGGCTTATATAATAACATTTAAATGTTGTGAATTTAAAACTGGGAAAAGAATGAGTGTGGTTGCCTTCTTTTGATGAGAGAGATCGATATATGAACATGGCTCAGCTCTAAATATTCAGCATGGGGCCAGTTAAAAGACAACTTGCAGCACCAGCAGGATAGATCCAGACCTTTGGCGCTGAGCTAACAGCAGTCAAGTTCATGTTCAGAGGAGATATTAACATAAAACACATGCAGAGTTTATGTTTTCTGAATGGTATCTTGAATGAGTTCAGGTGCTACGGTTTAGCGATGATAATAATCTCAAAGCGCATGCATGAATGTCATCTCAGTGGTTAGATGACACGTTTTCAGTTAATGCCACATTATTTGAAAAAAAAAAAGTGTATCGAGTGAAATCACAACAGATGCATAATTATTACATGAAGCAGGTTTACGCCTGTGTTTTTGGAACAGTGAAAACTATACAAACCAGAAAACATCAAAGAGGAAATGTTCGTATTAAAAGGTGTCAAACCACCCCTGAATGTGTCCAGAGCAAGAGATGGTGCATGTGGGGTTTTATGTTACAGGTTTTTGGAAGGTCACAAGTTGGAATAAATGAAAAATAAACAAACTGCAGCTTTAATCTACACCTAATTCCATGCACCACATCCTACGGCTTTTAGATGCCATCAACACAAACATCAAAACAAAGTTCCATTGCTCCAACTGATTCAAACTGAAGAAGTGTTGAGTTTTTGTTTATTGCATCAAGTCAAATAGTTTTCAAGCAAGTTACTCTAATTTAAATCACTAATTTGGGGGATCCTTATAAGGATATTTATTTAGAAAACCTCTGTGGATTTGATCAATATATGCAGGTTTTGTAGCTTACGGTGTGCAGCTTCTTGACAAATGCACAAGTAAAATTTAAGAAATGACAAAGTTGCATCAACACAACTTCAACTGTTGATATTTGTGGGCCTCCGTTAAATACAGTCCAGTGCTCCCCTACAGACTTCAGTTTCTCTCATTCTCTATAGAAGCATTCTGATGCTTGCACCATGCAACACTACTTAATCGTGCACTGTTGCATCTAAATATCATCTGAAAGCTAGCTTGTTTGTGTCCCCAAAAACATGCAAAATGGAACTTTGTGTGTGTGCATGCACGCTTCTGCTGAGAGAGAAGGATGTGGTCAGACTGTCACAGAGGTTCTTCATCTGTGCCATCCGAATCACACAAATGCTCTGACAATACTCGAATTTGTCTCTTTAATGTTCTGAATTATGAGATGGAGGTAGAACTTGTGCAAACCCTTTGAGCTACCCCTCATGTTCTTCATGCTTGATGAAGACTTTCTCAGTTTCTTTGGACCTTTGCTGCTTTCTCACTCATTTTCTGTAAAACCCTTATGCTTGTCAAAACAAAACAAAAAGACACAAGACTGTGCATTGTGTTTAAGATAAGACTTTTTTTGGATCCCACAGCAGGGACATTTGTGCAGTACCACAGTTCAGGACAGAGAGCAAGAGTACTAGAATGACCAAGAATACATAAAAGCAGACATTATATACAATAGTAGTTTCTATGTAGACACATACACAGTAGGCATTATGGACGAATACGTAAGCAAACATGTACAAATACATATATCAGATGCATTATGCAAGGAGTGGCTGTGGAGTTAAGATGACTGAGTGACTCATGACAACATCATCATCATCATCATCATCATGTGTTATACAGTGGGGCAAAAAAGTATTTAGTAAGCCACCGACTGTGCAAGTTCTCCCACTTAAAATGATGACAGAGGTCAGTAATTTTCATCATACGTACACTTCAACTGTGAGAGACAGAATGTGAAAAAAAATCCATGAATACACATGGCAGGATTTTTAAAGAATTTATTTGTAAATCAGGGTGGAAAATAAGTATTTGGTCAATAAAAAAATTCAGCTCAATACTTTGTAACATAACCTTTGTTGGCAATAACAGAGGTCAAACGATTACTATAGGTCTTTACCAGGTTTGCACACACACAGTAGCTGGTATTTTGGCCCATTCCTCCATGCAGATCTTCTCGAGAGCAGTGATGTTTTGGGGCTGTCGCCGAGCAACACGGACTTTCAACTCCCTCCAGATTTTCTATGGGGTTGAGGTCTGGAGACTGGCTAGACCACTCCAGGACTTTCAAATGCCTCTTACGGAGCCACTCCTTTGTTGCCCGGGCGGTGTGTTTGGGATCATTGTCGTGTTGGAAGACCCAGCCACGTTTCATCTTCAAAGCTCTCACTGATGGAAGGAGGTTTTGGCTCAGAATCTCACGATACATGGCCCCATTCATTCTGTCCTTAACACGGATCAGTCGTCCTGTCCCCTTAGCAGAAAAACAGCCCCAAAGCATGATGTTCCCACCCCCATGCTTCACAGTAGGTATGGTGTTCTTGGGATGCAACAGTATTCTTCTTCCTCCAAACACGACGAGTTGAGTTTATACCAAAAAGTTCTACTTTAGTTTCATCTGACCACATGCCATTCTCCCAATCCTCTGCTGTATCATCCATGTGCTTTCTGGCAAACTTCAGACGGGCCTGGACATGCACTGGCTTCAGCAGCGGAACACGTCTGGCACTGCAGGATTTGGCTCCCTGCCGTTGTAGTGTGTTCCTGATGGTGACCTTTGTTACTGTGGTCCCAGCTCTCTGCAGGTCATTCACCAGGTCCCCCCGTGTGGTTCTGGGATTCTTGCTCACCGTTCTCATGATCATTTTGACCCCACGGGATGAGATCGTGCGTGGAGCCCCAGATCGAGGGAGATTATCAGTGGTCTTGTATGTCTTCCATTTTCTGATAATTGCTCCCACAGTTGATTTTTTCACACCAAGCTGCTTGCCTATTGTAGATTCACTCTTCCGAGTCTGGTGCAGGCCTACAATTGTTTTCCTGGTGTCCTTCGAAAGCTCTTTGGTCTTGGCTATAGTGGAGTTTGGAGTCTCATTGTTTGAGGCTGTGGACAGGTGTCTTTTATACAGATAATGAGTTCAAACAGGTGCCATTAATACAGGTAACGAGAGGAGGACAGAACAGCTTCTTAAAGAAGACGTTACAGGTCTGTGAGAGCCAGAGATTTTCCTTGTTTGGTGACCAAATACTTATTTTCCACCCTGATTTACAAATAAATTCTTTAAAAATCCTGCCATGTGAATTCATGGATTTTTTTTCACATTCTGTCTCTCACAGTTGAAGTGTACCTATGATGTAAATTACTGACCTCTGTCATCATTTTAAGTGGGAGAACTTGCACAATCCGTGGCTGACTAAATACTTTTTTGCCCCACTGTAAATCCTAACTGTTGTTGGAATGAATGAATGAGGGGAATAAGATGAAGGAAAAAAGAAGTGTTGGACCTCAACAGCTACAGAGATGCACCATCCTTCCGATCATCTACTAAATATTATGTTGAGCTAAAAGCTAGATGAGGATCATCCAGTTTAGGGATGTAAGAAAAAAATCTATATGGCAATATATATCGTGATTTTTTTCCCCAGCAATTTTCTATCAATATTCAAAAGCCGTGTATCGAATTTTTGGAAGAATTTACACGCAAACATTTTTTTTCCTTTGGTGCAATTCAAACACAGCCTGCTAGTTGGCAGCAGTGTTCAATGGGTTTTGTTTCCACCATTGAAATGTAAATCCCTCCATTATGGCTCAGATACCTCATGTTATACAGGTTACGTACCAGTTTGGACTGTTTATTGAATTTTCCTACAATAAATTGAATGTAAAAAAAATAAAAAATAAAAACTGCTAATATCGTCTGGCTGAATGTATGGCAATATATAGTGATATATCCATCGTATCATCTCCCCTGTATCATGATATGTATTGTATCGCCACAATTTCACCAATACACATCGCTAATCCTGTTTGTTGGTGACACAGCTTTTGGGAATTTTCATTTATTTTTGGGCAAGGATGCTGCTGAGGTCCAAAAGATCCTTTTATTATAAGTTCTTTGTAAAGTGTTTTATTTTTTTGGCCCATCCCTTGAGTTTTGAGCCTTTCTGTACACAAATGAATCATGGGTCAGAGTAAGCGGCTAAGTATTTTTCTAATATCGGTCAATTTAATTAAAATAAAATCAGCCAAAGCCTAGAGAAAAAAGACGTAAGAAGAAAACTAGTTTGTTTGGGTCATTAAATAATAAAATCAGCTCAAAATAGCACATCATGTCATCGTTTCCAAGTAGGTTAAGATGTCAGCTTAACGAACCTCTAACAGTCCTTGAGTATGTGCCAAAAACTTGGTTAAGGGGATCAGTCTATTTACTGAAAAGGAAGAAAACAACTAGCCAATAGACCGCCCGGAATTCACGTAACGTTCGCGCAAAATTACACGAACGCATTTATTAAAATAATGGTCAAATTTATTCCTGACAACATGAAAGTGTCCCAGTTGTAAACTAGACCTTGCTGTGACAACACTGAATGTATTCTAAGGACTATAAAGTTGATAGTTGAAGAACAGCACGTAGTAACGCAGTTATTTTAGCTAACCGAACAAGCTAGCGTTACTTTTAGCTAACCCAAGCTACCGCAGCGTCGTTACTAAATGATGTTGTGTACTTTCATTTGAAAAGTGAATTCAGCGTTGCCGGGTGTTGACTTCCCATTTCCACTACAATCCTCAGCTCTAGATGTTTAAAAACTGTGCGAAAAGAAAAGCGAGCACTTAATCTGTAGTTGCGTTAGTAAACAGGGAGCCTGATCTGGTTTCAGTAGATAGTCGGAGGCTGCGTTAGCCTGTGCGCAGCAGAACTGGCCTCCACTCACCGTGATGTTGCAGTGAATGATCAGCAGCTTCTCTCTCGTTACGTTGAACTGGCAACTGAGTTCATCGGGTTTCCAGTCTATTATTCTGAATCGTTCGTGGTTTGGGTCGAAGATTGACTCCAAAAACTTCAGTTCGGCCTTCAGCCCCGAAACCGACATCTTCTGTTCATCTCAAAGCACCAGGCCGCTGGCAGAGGGGAAGTCAGGGCGGAATGCGACCGCGCAGTTGAGTCGGCTCCTCGGATCTCGCATGTTAGCGTGAGAAATACAACAAAGGGCTGGAGACGCCGCTTTATATAACAAACCATCATTACAATGAACGCTCTACACGGGCAAACACCAGATAAGGCATCTCACTGATTCTCATCTGTGTTTATTTTGGGTATTAAAAAAACACTTGAGCCACATCCACCTTTAAATTATGAATGTAAGAGAGTTGGTTTCTGTTGGGATTGTGCATTGTAAAACTTATGTTATGACTATAAAATAATAAATAACATGTTTTCAAATTATGAAGAATCTGTTACACATAATAAGTGGTGACTATGGAAAAGAAATTCTTAGTGGGGTGGGTATGTGCAAAAATATTTCCTTTCTTATTCAATTCATTTCAATTCAGTTCAACTCAACTCAACTCAATTAATTTCAATTAAACTCAACTCAATTAATTTCAATTCAATATAATGCAATTTAATTCAGTTTACAGTGCCTTGAAACGACGCCAAGAGTCATCTCAAGGCGCTTCGCAAAGTAAACATTCCAATTGAGCTCAGTTCATTATGCCAATTAGTAAGTCGCTGACTTGTGTCAGTGATTTTATAGCAATCCCCGTACTAAGCAAGCATGTAGCAACAGTAGAGAGGAAAACTCCCTTTTAAAAAGAAGAAACCCAACCTGGCTAAGTAAGTAAGTAAGTTAAGTAAAGTTTATTTATATAGCGCCTTTCACAGATATAAATCACAAAGCGCTGTTATTTGTCTTAAAATAAACTTTATTTTTTCCACCTGAGTTAATCATAATTATTTCAACAGGTGAAAATGTTATTATCAGGAGAGGGAGAGTGTTTAGTGGTTGGCAACAGTGTGCTAGCTGATGACCTGCTGATGAGGTCACCAAAGCTCACCAGAACACCAGTATAAATTCTTCTGGGGAGAAAAACACCTAAAGAAAACATAAGTTAATAGTGGAATTTACAAGAAATAATGGAATGGGAGAGTAGAGGTAGACTAAAGTAGAGTGAGGAAAGTGATCAGAATGTCCTCCATCAGTCTAAGCCTATGGCAGCCTAACTACAGTAATAACTCAAGATGACCTTGCCTTAAAGATGGAGTCATGTGGGAGCCAGGGCCAGGGGAAACCATCTTTACCGACTGTATTCCCCGTTGTACACTCCACCTCCCTCTACTCCCCCTAAAGGTTTGCCCATTCTGTGTATTAAAATTTCAAAATGACTACAATTTCACAGCAGTCATCTATTTCACTTCTTCATATTAGCAGTTTCATTGTGCAAATTTTTATTTATTTCAGGCAAAACAACAGGGACCCAGCTCATACGCAATTTTACTTTCCAGAGGTCCAACATCTCTATGTAAATCAATTTCCCTCTGGGATTAATAAAGTATTTTTGAATTGAATTGAATTGAATTAAAATCTTTGTTTTATTGATTAAATGCAATATTAAATTCCCGTCTCACCCTCCGCAGGTGGTCTCATCCTTCCAAGCTCAGGTCCTCTACCAGAGGCCTGGGAGCTTGAGGGTTCTGCAGTATCTTAGCTGTTTCTAGAACTGCACTGTTCTGGACTGAGATGTTTGATGTTGTTCCTGGGATCTGCTCTAGCTACTCCTCATGCTTGGGGGTTACTGCCCCGAGTGCCCCGATGACCTCGGGCACCACCGGTGTCTTCACTCTCCTGGCTTCCTCAAGTTCTTCTTTGAGGCCCTGTAACTTCTCTAGTTTCTCGTGTTCCTTTTTCCTGATGTTGCCATCACTTGGTGTTGCCACATCAACCACAACGGCTGTCCTCTGTTGTTTGTCCACCACCACCACATTGTCTGATTGGTTTGCCATCACCATTTTGTCAGTCCGGATCTGGAACTCCCACAGGAGCTTGGCTCTCTCATTCTCAACCAACTTAGGGGGTGTTTCCCACTTTGACCTTGGGGCTTCCAGTCCATATTCTGCACAGATGTTCCTGTACACGATGCCAGCTACTTGATTGTGGCGTTCCATGTATGCTTCCCCTGCCAGCATCTTACACGCTGCAGTTATGTGGTTGATTGTCTCAGGGGCCTCTTTGCTTATGGGTATTGTCTGGTGTGGTAGATCTTGTCCTTAGTTGCTTAGGTCTTCAGGGCCTGTTCCTGTGCAGCCACAGTGCCTCTGTGCTGTCCTTCAGATCAGCTCTTTCTAGCCACTGTTAAAATTTCTTCATATCAGCCACTTCAGTTATCTGTTGGTGGTACATCCCATGTAGGGGCTTGTCCTCCCACGATGGTTAGGGAGAGGGATCTGTTGGGGCCTTTTCCTTGATGTACTTATGGATCATGGACATTGGCTCTCATGCTCACTAGTCCTCGGCCTCCTTCCTTACGGCTAGTGTACAGTCTCAGGGTGCTGGACTTGGGATGGAACCATCCATGCATGGTTAGGAGCTTCCGTGTCTTAACATCTGTGGTTAATTAAGTGATTCACTTATTTACGTTATTTATTTATTTATATTTATATATTTAATTATACATAGATGTTATATAATAATGAAGATTTAAAAATATCAATGACAGTTTTCTGTAGTTAAAAGTTTTTATTATATTAACAAATCACAAGAACTTAGATCTAAATTCATTTTGTCTTCAAATTCAAATTTCTACAACAAAAAGGGGAATATGACAGAATTCTTGGAGAATATTTCTCAAAATTAACGTAAAATAATAATGAAATGAATAATGAAATTGAAACTGTCCTGTATAAAACAAACAAAATAAAATGACCAGTTGGCACAATACAATTGGATATGGGGAACGGGGATTCTCTCCAGTTCCTCTTGGAAGTTTCCAATCCATTCCCAGACCTGAGAGGAAATAAGATCCCTCCAGTGAGTTCTGGGTCTCCTCCAGACATTTTTCTTGTTCGTCAGTATTTAGTGCTTGATTGGAAATGCCAGAGGTGTGGCCAAGTCACTGCTTTGCAAGTCACAAGTAAGTCACAAGTCTTTCCAGTCAAGTCTCGAGTCAAGTCCAAGTCAAAGACAACCAAGTCCAAGTCGAGTCCAAAGTCAATGATGTGGAAGTTCAAGTCAAGTCCAAGTCCTTAACTTTGAATTTTCAAGTCATAATCAAGTCATCTGTCCAACTTTAATTTAATGATGATGATAATAAATAAATTCCAGAAATAAAGCTTCTGAAAGCTTCATTTATTTGCTCAAACAAGCAGTGCAACTAAAACTGATTATAAACAAAGTGCTGCAACAGTTAGCAGTACAAGATCTAACCCAGAACGAACAATTATTTATGATTTTTGTCCATGTCATGCCACTTTTGTGCTAAAATATCAAATAAGCTTAAATCATCATCAAGTCCACAGATGCAGGTCAATTCAAGTCGCAAATCATTGGCGTTCAAGTCCGAGTCAAGTCGTAAGTCTTTATAGATTTTATCAAGTCATTAAAATAATGACTCGAGTCTGACTCGACTCCAAGTCATGTGTCTCGAGTTCACACCTATGGGAAATGCAAAGTTGCATTTTAACGTGAACTCTTGGTTTCTAGAGCAGTGGTGCAGCAACACACCAGTCAATGCTATGCTCTGACTCAACACCAGATGACGCAATCTGTTCATGTAATAAACATGAGCTGTTGCTGTTGTTCACTGACCTGGTCAAACCTTTTATAACAGGACACTTATCAGTCATGTGTGCCAAACAGACATGATTTTGAAGAGGAAACCTGTCAGAGCCACAGTCCCGCTTCAGCTGTGGTTCAGTTCTGTTGCAGATTTAGGTAAGGCACACAGAATCATTAAAATACTATTAAACATTGATCGGTTTATTGCCCAGGTAAAGTGTAAAGTCTGACAGGTGATAAGACTCTCAAAAAGGATTTTCAGTGACTTTTAGGAAGCATTAATGTAAAATATTTGTTCATTTTAATATTGACTTTTTATGTTTGATTATTGATTGTTCTGAAGTGGTGAGGCGTTTACTCTTCACTGATTTAGTATCACAGTTGGAAATTTAGATATTTTCTTTCATCAGAACGATGTTTTCCATAGCATTAATGATTATAAATAAAAACAGAATTATTTCAATAATCCATGCGTTAAAATAGTAATAAAAAATACACAAAAAAATGTAGAAGTTTAGTATGAATGCCACTCATGATGGACTCCGCTGAGCCAGGTGCAGTTTGGTTTAGTTCCAGAGAGCTGTGATCCTTCAGTGAGCAGTGAGATTTACCCTAGGAAGCTAGAACTTCAGAGCGGGAATAAAATATATGTGTCAAAAGCTAAGTTATTAAATGTGATAATTTAATAAATGTGCATTTCTCATCAGTAAATGTTTATATAGTCATAGAAAAACATGCAAACCACCAAATTCTGCTTACTCACTCGTTTTTCTGTATTTTTAAGGTATCAGGGAGCCATCATGAAGCACTTGTTTTTATTCACCTTTACTCTACTATTCATGCAAACCTCAAGCTCATCAGGGGGCAAGATTCTGGTGTTCCCATTGGATGGAAGCCATTGGGTCAACATGAAAGTCCTCATAGAGGAGCTGCACAGCAGAGGCCACCAGATCACTGTGCTGCGGCCATCTGACAGTTGGTACGTGGAAGAAACGTCCCCCTTCTATACCTCCATCACTCTCTCATGTCCTGGCAAATTTGAGGCAAACTTTGAAAAATATTTGTCTCGAATGCTGGAGATTCGCCTGGAGAAGAAGCCAGTGTCTTTGTGGTCTAAGCTGTGGACTCACATCCAGTTGGAGAGAGCACTTATTGAGCAGTTCTCCCAGTTCCACAGGGAAGTGGGTGAAGTGATCATCCACATGTTTGAAGATGCAAACCTGATGCAGTCTTTACATGCTGCCAAGTACGACTTGGTCCTGACTGATCCTGGTGTTGGAGGAGGTGCGCTGCTGGCTCGTAAACTCCAAGTTCCTCTGGTTTTTAATGTCAGGTGGACCATTCAGGGCGAAGCTCACTTCCTTATCGCTCCCTCACCTCTGTCATACATTCCCTTTACAGCGACTGAGCTGACTGATAAGATGACCTTCACTCAAAGAGTAAAGAACGTCTTGGCTTATTTCTTTGGCAGGTACACTTTAACGTACATCACAGAACCTGTTTACAAACCCATTGTCAAGCGCTACTTCGGCCCAGATGTGGACTACTCCACCGTTTTCCTCGACGCTGACATCTGGCTCATGAGGAATGATTTTATCTTTGAGTTTCCACGTCCAACGATGCCAAACATCGTCTACATGGGAGGATTTCAGTGCAAGCCCTCTAAAGCACTCCCAGCTGATCTGGAGGAGTTTGTTCAGAGCTCTGGAGATCACGGGGTTGTAATAATGACTCTAGGAACTTTAGTTAGAAACCTCCCCGAAGAAGTCTCTGAGGAAATAGCTGCAGCCTTTGCTCAGCTGCCTCAGAAGGTAATTTGGAGGTATGTGGGACAAAGGCCGGCCAACCTGGGCAGCAACACATTACTGGTAAATTGGCTGCCACAAAACGACCTATTAGGACATCCCAAAACTCGAGCTTTTGTGACCCACGGAGGCACCAACGGCGTTCAGGAGGCCATTCACCATGGCGTCCCTGTAGTAGGGCTTCCTCTGTTCTATGATCAGGCTGATAATCTCTCCAGAGTCAGAACAAAGGGAGCAGCTGTGATCGTAGACATCGGCATGCTCGATAGACACGTTTTTAAAGAAGCCCTGATGACGGTTCTGTATAACTCCACCTACAGAGGAAGCATGCAGATGCTGTCCAAGCTGCACAAAGATCAGCCCATGAAACCTCTAAACCAAGCCATGTTCTGGTTGGAATATGTCATCAGACACAAAGGAGCTCGTCACCTGCAGACACAGTCGCACAAAATGTCCTGGTTTGTTTACCACTCTGTTGATGTCATCGCAGCTTTATCAGCAGCTGTTTTACTGTCAGTTTTTATCTGCATTTCTGTTATGAGATTGTTGTACCAGAAGATTTTTACAGGGAAAAAAGTTAAACATGAATGAAGCAAAAAATAAAAGAAAAATCACCACTGAAGAAAACGTCGATGTAACTTTTAATGGAAATAAAAACACAAAGAAACACCACAGATTTACACTCAGTCACTGTCAGACAGAAAATAAAAAAATGGGACATTTTAAAGTAAATAAATTAAGTTTAATTTGAAATAATTAAGCTTTACATGAAGATACAAGGTTTCAATCTGACAGCAAAGTAATTTATATTGTCAGTTTTAGTAAATTCATCCAGAAAAATCCAACATCACAATTTTTTTGAACAATAACAAAATATAAAACCAAAGTAAAATCATGCACAATAATGAACAATTTCTCTTTTCTTTCCTTCTCTTTATTTGTTTCATTCAAAGTGTTAATATATATATATATATATATACATACAAACAATATAAAAAACATACATAAACATGAACACCAAACAATTTGAATGAAAAGAGGCAGAAGGAAGAAATATCTTATATTATCTGCCTCTATTTACAAACCAAACTTTTTAATAATGTTTCCAATTCTCAATGAACAACAAAACAAAACGAAACACTGATTCATTTTATATTTTTGTAACTTACAGACCTAATGAGACACCAACTGAATTTAGGTTATTGTAGTTCTGTAATACACTTGATTTGATACATTTTTTAAATATATTTAATGACTTTGATTCTTTTTTGTCTTTGCTAAGGTTGTTCCATATTCTCATGCCATTTACAGAGATAGTTCCTTCATTCTGGTTCTAAATTTCGTTTTTTTTAAATACTTCACTTCTTTTTAAGAAATAATTACTGACTCTTTTCTCAAACATTTTCTGAATTTTGGTGGGTAACTTATTGGTTTTAGCTTTATACATTGTTTGCAATATTTTCATATTCACTAGATCAATCAGTTCAGTTCAGTTCATTTATTTATAAAGCACTTTAAAACACCCAGCACAGGAACAAAGTGCTGTACAGAAAATACATTAAAACAATAGAATAAACAGAAAGCAGCAAAGAGAAATAAATAAAACACAGGAGACATAAAATTAAAACAGCCCAATAATAAGAATAAAAACTAGATAAAAACAGCATTGAAACACACAAAAACAGCTAAATTAAGTCAAAAAAAAATTGTAACCGACATCTCACATGGTGTCAAAAGCAAGGGTAAAGAGGTGTGTTTTCAAGAGTGACTTAAAAACAGGTAAGGAACTGGCCTTATCTCTAAAGGAAGCTCATTCCACAGTTTAGGAGCTGCTACAGCAAAGGCGCGATCTCCTCTAAGTTTACGCCTAGTCCTGGGTACATTCAGGAGCAGCTGATCAGCTGACCTGAGAGAGCGGGAGGGTGTGTAAGGCTGTAACAGGACAGAGAGATAAGAAGGTGCAAGGCCATGAAGACCTTTAAAATCAAACAAAAGAATTTTAAAATGAATCCTAAAAGAAATGGGCAGCCAGTGAAGTGAAGCTAAAACAGGGGAAATGTGCTCAAACTTTGGAGTGCCAGTTAAAAGACGGGCTGCGGCATTTTGCACCCTCTATAGATGACTAATATAAGATACACTGACCCCAATATAGAGTGCGTTACAGTAATCCAGCCGAGTGGTAACAAAGGCGTGGATCACTGTCTCGAAGTGCTGCCGTGAAAGAATTGGCTTTATTTTCGCCAGCTGCCTGAGGTGAAAGAAGCTAGATTTTACCACCGCCCTAATCTGATATTCAAACGTCAGATCACAGACCACTTTGACCCCCAGGTTTGTGACGGTTGGCTTAACAAACTGGGCCAGGGAATCAACATACACATTGGGGGTCTCAGTAGGATTACCAAAAATCATCACCTCAGTCTTTTTATCATTGACAATCAGTCAATCAATCAAAGATACTTTGTTAATCCCAGAAGGAAATTAGAGTTTCAGTACACACAATTCAGAGATCAGACATACATGGGCAAGACACATGACAAGAATTGGTGACTGTGGTCATTCGCAACCCTGAGTCGCGCTACCTTAATAGAGATAAGAGGGGTTACGTGAGGATTGGTTCAGGTGGAGGGAAAAAAAGGGCACTTCAGCGTTACCCTCCACCGGGAGGGCAGCTTTGCTCTGCAACAAAACACCTCAGACATATATGCAACAGACTTCAGACAACACAAGTGTCCACTAGGTGGGGTGGTGGGTTGGGACTATCCCTACTTCAGTTCCTGCAGCCACGACAGAAGCAGAGCATGTCACCTCAGTGTGGACTGGGGGAGGAGCATTGAGAGTTGGAGGGTTGCAGTGACCCTGGAACGTTTCAGCGGCCTTCCCGCAGTCCCGCCCAGGCTGGGATAGGAGACAGAGTTGAGTTGCCATAGCGACGGCACATTCCACATTTCTTCTGAGGGGGGAGTTTTCATTGTAGCCTTGCAGGCTCAAGGGCGCCAGATTCCGATTAGAAATTGTTTTGGGGCCAGACAGAGATAATTTCCTCTCTGTCTCACAGTTTGTTGGTCCTCAACCTCTCAAAATCCCAGTAATGGACATTAAACTATCCCAATCCGTGCTGATTCGTCCACTCTATCCTTGATGGCATCCATCTTCTGTGCCAATGAATGAATCTCGGCCAAAGTTCCAAGCTTACAATTCATCTAGACAATTATGTGAGTCTGTGAATTCACAGCACGGTGCAATCCATCTCTGAGCTCGGGGATCAGGCCAATATTCCTCGACAGCTCATTAATTTTCCGGTAAGCCAGGTAGCCTCCAATGCCAATAGCAGGAAACCCGACACCAACACCATGAATATCCACACATCTTCAGAGTCTGCCACAGACAGCTGGTCTGTCCCGGAGGGGCATCTGGGAGCCCCTTCTCCCTTTCTCATCGTTGAAAAAATTTTATCAACCGCGTTGAGAGACCAACTGATGAGATCCATTTTAGTGAATTTCAGTTTCTAGTTTCCACAAAAAATGCAGAAGCAGCCGTGCACCCAGCACACAGAAACAGACAAAGGCCTTGAGGATAAGATATGGAGAAGAGGAGAAGAAAAGCGTCTGCACCCTCCAAGAGCCGGAAGAAAAAAACCAGGATTGGATGGATCTCTATAGTGATTGTTATTAATGATTCTCAATGCTCTTTTCTGTAGAATAAACAGTGGTTGTGTATGAGTTTTACATGTGGATCCCCATATTTCTACACAGTAAGTCAAGTATGGAACAATTAGTAAGTTATACAATGTCAGCAATCCAGAACTATTAAGTAAAAACTTAACTTTATGTAGTACTGCAATGGCTTTGGCAATTTTATCTCTGATATAACATATGTGTGACTTCCAGGTGATAGCTTCGTCAAACATGACTCCTAAAAATTTTGTTTCTTTCACCCTTTGAATGTCTATTCCATTTATTTTTATTGTTACATCTTTGTTGTCTCTGTCATTAAACAATATAAAATTAGTTTTATTAAGATTCAGTGAAAGTCTGTTTATGTCAAACCAGTTGTTAACTTTTATCAGTTCGTCATTTATCACTCTAGTTACTTCATTAACATCTGACCCTGAATAGAACAATGTTGTGTCAGAGTAGCTTAGATACACTTACAAGATCATTAATAAATAGTATGAACAGTTTAGTTCCAAGGACCGACCCTTGTGGCACACCATAATTAACCTCCCGCAGTTCTGATTTAGTGTTGTTTAGTTGGACAAATTGTTTTCTATTCTCTAAATAACTTCTAACCCATTAATGTGCCACACCTCTTATGGCATACTGATGTAATTTCTGAAGTAACCTCGAGTGATCGATAACATCAAAAGCTTTCTTCAAGTCAACAAATACACTGATGAAGTAGTTTTTATTGTCTATTGCTGTAGATATTTTGTCTATTAGTTCCATTATTGCCATTTGTCTCTCTGTTACAACCCCGACATGAGATGTTAAAAGTGTGAAGGATGGGGAGAACATAAGAACTGGCGGCGGAGTTTAAAATGGGTTTATTTGTACAAAACGTATTAAAAACACAAGCAAACTGATTTCTCTAAAAGGTTAACATTACAAAGCAAATTATCAACAATAAAACACCTGGTAAAAACTTATATTAAAAGTTTTACCGCAACAAAGGTGTTTTAAAATCCTGAAGTTGCTAAAAGTTCAAAACAATCCACTGACTAAAAACACCTGGTAAAAACTTATCTTAAAAGCTTTACTACAACGAAAGGTGTTAAAACTGAGGTCAGGAAAATTGCCACAAATAAAGTTAACCTTAAAAACTGAACACACAAAAGATCCCACTGGATCATCCTCAGTTTCTCATTAAGAGTTAAAAACAACCATAGTTTAAAACTCAAACAAATCCAAACGAACAGGGGTTAAACCTACACAAAACCAGGAGGACAGCAGAACCCCTGCACTGCTGCCTCCCAGACTGATGAAGGCACAGCCCTTTTATGCAGGTGTTTGCTCATTAGGTTGATTCCTCTCAGCTGTGCTCCTCAGCAGCCTGGGAGAGAGGAGGAGGAGGAGCGGTGTCAGGCTGATTCACTACAGATGGGTGAATTTGGTTGCTTCTCTCCACTGGTCAGGCTGGCATCCGTAACACCATTGCAGTTGAATGTTTGGTCCTAAAACCATATTGTTCATTATTTAAAATGCTATTTTCTTCAATGAATTTACCCAACCTTGATACAAATACTTTTTCTATTATTTTGGAAAACTGTGGAAGCAGTGACACTGGCCTGTAATTGGAGAAATTGTGTTCATCCCCACCCTTAAACAATGGAACTACCTTAGCAATTTTCATTGTGTCAGGGAGGTTGAAAGTGACAGATTACAGATATAAGTAAACGGATCAATAACAGATTCTATTATAGCTTTATCATATCCAAGTCCTCATAATCAGTTGATTGTTTGTTTCCACAGCTTTCTACAATATTCCTTATTTCTTCTTTTTCTACCTTGTCAAGGAAAATACTATTAACATTACAAACTACTGTCTTCTGTTTATCTTCTATTATTGGTTTGTTACCTACCAAATTCGCACCTACATTTACCAAAAAATTGTAATTATTAGAATTAAACTTTAGTCTTCAGCTTTTACTGATTACGTTTTACTGATTATTTATAATGATGCTACATATTCAAATTCTCTTTATTCCTTACTTTGCACTGTGGCTGATTTGAGTGGTTTCTGAGTCACACAGTCAGGAGTTTTAGGGGCAGTCAGGGGCGACGGTGGCACAGGAGTTAAGTGCTCGCCCCGTAATCGGAAGGTTGCTGGTTCGAGTCCCGCTCAGTCTGTCGCTGTCGTTGTGTCCTTGGGCAAGACACTTAACCCACGTTGCCTGCTGGTGGTGGTCGGAGGGACTGGTGGCGCCAGTGCTCGGCACCCTCGCCTCTGTCAGTGCGCCCCAGGGCAGCTGTGGCTACATTGTAGCTCATCCCCACCAGTGTGTGAATGTGTGTGTGAATGGGTGAATGACTGATTGTGTTGTAAAGCGCCTTGGGGGGTTCTAGGACTCTAGAAAGCGCTATATCAAATACAGGCCATTTACCATTTATTTAACGGTAAGTTCACTGACTGAACACTAGAGGGAGATACAAGACAGAACCATGGCCATGAGTTGGACTAGAACAGACTTTTAATCCCACAGTGGGGAAATTCACTTGCTTCACTAGCAGCACCTGGGACGTAATTTTGGGGGGGGACGGGTGGGACATGTCCCCCCCACTTTTTCAAAAGGCAGTTTTGGTCCCCTGCACTTTTTTCCGTCCAAAAACAATGTTACGCTCCATTAAATGGATTTGGTTGAGCACTAGGACCGAAACGGAAACCGGTTTACTATTAGACCCGCCTAAAAGCTAATCTATTGGCTCTGCTGATACTTGCTAACGTATTATTGGCTGTTGCTGCTGTCACTCAAGTTGTAAACAGTCAGAACGTGCTCACGTTGTTTTGCTAGTTTGGAGCCGCTAGGGAACACCGGTACTGAGTCACATTGTAAACTAGACGCTGTGTAATATCAGAGCTCAGCTCAGCTTCCACTACATAACATTTGAATAAGTGTTCATTTGTGAGTCTTTGGTAGTTAGACACAGCCAGGAGGCAGCATGTCAAGAAAACGAAAAGTGGATATAAGAGACTTCTTTCAAAGTCAAAACGTAAGTTGGAACATGTGACACCCCTGCATTAAGCTCAGACTCACCTCCTCCTTCACAAACATACTCAAAACTAACTTTTACAAACTCATCTCCTCCACATAACTGACTCCTCAGACACAATTTATTCATATTATTATAATAATTATTTTTTTATTACTATTATCATCATAATTATTATTACTAGTAGTAGTAGAAGTGTAACTTCAAAACTTTTATCATTTAACTTTATTGTAAACTTATCTATTGCAATGTATATTTTCACATTAAAAAGCTCTGAAAAATGAACAGTATCATCATCGTCAACAGATTTTTTTAAGCTTAATGTCAAAGATGTACACTTTTCATTAGATTTATCTTATTTTTTCCATTTATTTTTTGTGTGTTGAAATGCAACAACTGTTTAAACACTTTTAAGGGAAAAAACATATTTAATATGTTTTTATACACTCAAATGTTAGGGTGATGATCATGTGTAAAACATTAGTTCAGCATGTCCTCTAACACAGCAAATGAACAAACGGCCAGATCTCAGGAGGGACCGTTTTTGTATAAATAATTTTTATACTTTTGACTAGGCCTGGGAATGTAACAAATTTTGCTGGACGATATTTTGTCCAACAAATTGTTGATGATAAACGATATTGTCTACATTATCTAGACCAAAATAACCACTAATATAATGTTAATATATCATAATAATGCAAGTACACCCTTTAAAATGCAACAAATAAACCTTAATTTAACATTGAAATGTCCAGAACCAGAACTTCTAAATGAATAAAAATAACAAACAAAAATTGAATAAAAAAGGAATCTCACTCCCTGTTAGAAAATGTTGCACCAAAAACAATAAAAAAGACCCAAAACAATAAATACAATGGCCTATCCATTGTCAACAGCCAAAACTGCACTTCAATAATGATAATAAATAAAAATAATAATAGAGTTGTACATTTTTTAACTTTGATATAGTGTCAAGGGGTCTTTACATAACACCCCCCACCCCAAATCCGCACAAGCCTGCTGTGTCCCCCCCACTTCTGAAATAAAAATTTCGTCCCTGAGCAGCACATACACTTAAAGAAAAGGAATAATAATAATAAGATTGCAGGTAAAAACACAAAGACAATAAGCTATTATTTTAAACTTCAACCACTAAAACAATGAATAAAAAACGAGACTTGGGTTTCTAGAACTATGCAGAGTAAGGGACACAGACATACTAATGTACATCCGAAATTGCACAAGTATATTGAACACATACTGGATATTGCAGAGAGAACTTTTATTTGCTTATCTGAGGATTAGACAGCCAGTTGGTGTTAGATGATAATAAGGACATGATGAGCTTTCTGCAGCAGTTTAATAAAACTTCTGCAGCTTTCAACAATGAGACAATCAACAAGCTAAATAAAAAAAAACACTTATATTTATGTATTATAGTTATTCAGAATCAGAATCAACTTTATTGATTCACTGTCACTGAGAGATAAAGATTTTTGGTTATCTGAAATAACATTTATAAACATTTTTGAGGAAGATTTGTGACATAAGGAATCGAATGACAATGCTTCTTGGCAATCATGATTTCAAAGCAGTGTAATAGGGGAATGAGCCACACAAATGCACTTGTGGGTACCACAAAAATGTTCCACAAGCCTCCTCAGTTTTCTCCAGGTTCCCTTATTTTTGTGCAGACAAGTACAAATGTTCTTATGTGTGTGCATGTGAATAATATTGACTGCATGTTGGTGCATTTGGTGGCACTTTTGCCTTGAATGAAGGTTGCCGGTTTGAATCCTGGCTGCAGCTTTCCTGTGTGTGTCAGGCTCGATTGGCTGAGCTGAAGTGTAGCGGAGGTTGCTTGTAGTGTATGGTGTCAGGTTTCCGTCAAAACCCGTGCAAGCGTAACCAAAACCCGTGCAAGCGTGGCCAAAACCCGTGCAAGCGTAGCCAAAACCCGTGCACGCGTATTGTACACATCGCGCGTGCGAACGGGACTCGCGCGTGGAGGTTAGAACTCACGAGTGAAAATATACATGGCAAGGAGGTCATTTGTTCACTGAGAGGGAGCAAACTGTGTCTGTGAGCGCACAATGATGTGCACAAGTGACAAACCTGCGTGCGCGCGTTGGGCAACGAGCACACGGCAGAGGAAAACATGCGCGCGGCAGCCTCACTGCGCGCTCGGTGCAGCAGCCTCACTGCGCGTGTGGCAGCCTTTCTGCACGCTTGGTTTCTGATTCTGCTCGCTCGGCTGTTGGTAGTTTTGTCACTCTGGAGGCGTGGAAGAATTAAAGGACCAGAAATTGAGCACTTGAACTTTCAATTTGAGAGCAGAATTTCATATCAAGAGACCAACTTTTTAATTTCAGAATAAGATTTTATATTATTGCTCTCAAAACTTGTCATGCTTGCGCTCAAAATGTCTGCTCTCCTTCAAACTCACTCTGTTCTCCTTCAAATCTTTGTTTCTGCGCTCAGATTTAACCTTTTACACTGGTATTGTCTACTCACGTGACAACTTTTTCTCTGCACGGATCAAAACTCCTCCCACAAGTCTGTCCTCTGCTCTCACGGATCTGGTCTGCTCTCGCTCAAAACTTAGAAGTACAATCTCCTAGCAACCGCTCAGCCAATAGAAAGACTTTTGGGACTGGGCGGGAACAAACCTCTTTGGGGTGCGCTCGTTTTTGCGCTGTGGATTTTCCTGTGTGGCTGCCGCATCTGCGCCTGCGCACTACCAGCCTGCCTAAAACCCGCCGGCTCTGATCTGGAGCGGGAGTTCCACCTGCACCAGCAAAATGGACCAGAACCAACAAGAGGCTCAAGTAAGTTATTTTTCAAGGCTACTAGCTGCAGTTTATTCCATAAAATTGTTTTGTTATGCTACTTTTTACGACTCCTCGCATTTTATGTTACAACAGGGGCACACAGCTAGGTGGGTTAGGTTATTCACGATAGCTACAACTTTTATAAAATGGCCTCACCAGATTTGAGTTTTACCCTAACATATCACTCGTCCCCAATGCTAGCTCTGGACCTAGTGTAGATGTTTTTTGTTTAGTATTCCCACCTTCGTTTTTAATGGTTAGCTCTTTGGACATTACTCAATGTTAGTGACACACGGATCTTTTTTTTCCCCACCCTTCAGGAACAATGACCAAGATGGGACCCCATCAGATGGCTGTGGAGCAAAACAATTGTCAGTGGATGTTTTCAGTGGGTTTCAGGCCAGGCACATGTGCCACTAACAAAGAATTTTACAAGATAACTGTACATTTTGATCACGACATTACCACCCGGTATGGACCACACTTTGTGCTTTCCTGCTGTTAATGCATGTGCTGTTGCTATCACCTTACCTGCACGGCACGTCACTACATACACTGACTTTGAAAGTCAGCTTACTCAGGCAGTCTGTGATGGATTTGGTGTTAGCAGACATTAAGTGAAAACAAGATGGCCACTGCTCTGGGTTCAGGTTACTGTATAATGGTTGAAATTTAACTTTGAATCCAAAAAGACAAATTGTTTTGTTAAATCATGCAATGTTTTGGGGCTAGAAAGCAACATTGTTACATGAATCAATAAAGTTAGGCCTATTGCCATTTCAAATACATGTTTGTATTTCTTTTGTAACATTAAAAAAGCACTGGAACTGATCTCTTGATTTTTATTTTAAGTACACATTAATCCGACAAAACAGCATTAACATATTCTCTGCACAATAAATAAAGTTCCTTCGTGTTTGAATGCTCCCAATTTTGTGCCAGTAGCAGCTGCAGTTCAGCATGCTGCTCTTCAGTGAGGGGACTGTCGAACTCCGGGACCACAACAGCACCGTCCACATCTGGGCTGTACTCAGCTGCAACATCCCAGTCGATGTCTGGCTCTTGGAAATCCTGACATTACAACAAGAGAACAATGATAATGTTTCTATATTGAGCTGTAATTTGACAACAAATTAGCAAAATTTCCTAAATTTTAATAGAAACCAAATTTTCACATTTATTTTGTGTATACAGGGTTGTGCAGGATTACTATATGTCAAAATTAGATTTAAAAAAACGTACAAATAGCAGGGACAAGAATAACAAAAATTCAAAATGGTTTTCATTTAGAACTTTTACTATTTTGCAGGGGTGTAATTGTGATTTACTTACATCGCTGTAATTAAGTACAGTTTGCAATTTAATTTTTTTTTACCTTCAGTAGGTTTTAGGGCTGATTGATAAATAAAAAAAAGCATATTAATTTTAAAAAATCTAATCGATCAATAGATAATTATTTCAAAATTTTTAAACCGTAGAAGAGAATATATATTGAAGTGCATTCCTGGCCATTTTATGCTATTTCTTTTAGCAACAGTCTGTAGTTTTCTGCCACTAGGGGGCAGTATGTACCCAAATCATAACAAACAAGCTACATTTTTGTGTTCTTTGAGGAGCCTACCAATGAATAGCCGTAAAGGCCACAAAAAAAGCCCTGGGAGTGTTGTAGCGCAATTTTTAACGGGCTAACTACCTTGTTAGATCGTTCAACCTCCTGCAAAATGACAACAAGCACATCGGACTCCCTTTCATCAGTCAGCAGTAGAGAAATGCCATATTTCACATTCAGTATATTTTAAAGCGGCGTTCAGTATGTTCATAGAGCTCCTCATTTAGCTTCATGTTTGTGTTTCAATCTTTATTGAACACATTTTTTAAACTTCCTGTAGAAAGCAAGGAGATTGTGATGTAACTTTTTTTATTTTTATATAATTTATTAACAAACAAAGCTTACAGGCAGATGTAACTGCTGGTTGTTGGAACTGTGAGCTGCACAAAAACAGGCATAGTTGCTCCAATGACTGGATTCAAATTGGGTTTTGGAGAATTAGGGACCTACTCAATATGGCGGTGAAGCAGTTACTCTCCAGCAGCCAATGATGTCTATGGTACGGCTTATGTAGAAAGAAACATGCTGTCTAAGGCTACGCTCACACTGCAGGTCTTAAAAATCCATTCAGATTTTTAGAGTAAATTTAATTTTTTGTGTGGTTGTTCACATTACAACTGAAATACAACAGCAAACACTCTCCTGCGTTAACGTTAAAAGTGACCCGCGTGTACAGAAGAGAACAAGAACTCACACACGAGGAGCTCTGTGGAGTATGAACTGAGAGGTGGAGCTGTGATCCCAAGAGCTTCACTGACAGACTTCATCCACAATTCCAGGATCACACCTGTCAAGTCTCCTGTTTTGAGCTGGAAACTATTTTCAAAACTAAACTATTTTACTCCTTATTCCCACAGTCGTCCCATATTAGTATTTTCCCTCACTTAAGCCGCTTTCACATCTGGGTCGGCAAGAACGCGTTCGGAACCAAATGTTTTGTTCACATATGGCTCACATGTGTGTATTTCGTTCTGAGGAGACTTCTTTTTTCAGACTACTTCCCTCGGAGGTCCGGCTGGTGCCGAGCAGACACTATGGACTAACTGGCAGCTGAAACTCACACCTACCATCTCCGATTGGGGAGTTGGATCAAACACCGGGAGGGGTTTCCGCGCGCGCGATTACTTTTTATTATGGTTGCTGTTTAGCCCACATGAAGCACTGAGCTGCTGTCTCCCGCTCCGCAGCAGAGGACAGCAGTGTGTGTAGTAGCGGTTATAAGGACATGTCTGCAGCGGAGGACACTACAGCGCTGAAGCAGGAAGGATTAGAGAGCAGATTATTAGAGAAGCGCAGTGTGTGTTGGTGCAGCGGTTTGATGAGGAATTATTGTTTAGCATAGGCGGACACCGCAGACTTCTTCTGCGCGTCCTTACCGCCGCCCACATGCTCGGGGATTTCCGCATTCCTGAGAAGTCCTGGGAATCACATGTGAACAAGAAACCACCCGTTCTATTCCGAACTCACGCGGCTGAGCCCCGACCATGCCAGCTCATATGTGAAAATGCCTATACCTAACTCTGGGGAATATGACAGACAACATGTTACATAGGGGGGAATATAACATTAAGTATGGTCTAGACTAGGGTTGTCACGGTAACCAGTGTAGCGGTAAACCCAGGTAAAAAAGTTGACAAAAATAATAACCGTCTTGTTTTTTTAAAAAACTATATTATCTCGGTGGGTTACCGTGGCTGCAGTGTAGTCGCGGTGACCCTTACCAGCCACCGTATCATCGGCTGAAGTTGCCGGTGGCACATGCACGCTTTGCTGTTTACAACCAAAACTTTCTTGAAGCTAAAGCTGAAATAATGGCCAAAGGAAGAGACGGCAGTTCTCAGGAGGACATTTATTATCCCTCAAAGAAGACAAAGTCGGAAGTACGGGCATCTTTTGGATATCTGAAGAATGCCGAGGGACAGTTGATAGAAGACGGCTATCCTGTTTGCAGCACGTGCAGAAAAAGTGTCTGTGAAAGGCAGCAACGCTTCAAATCTCATGACACATCTGCGTGACCATCACCCACAACTCTACAGTCAACGCAAGGCAAGCTAACGTTAGCGTTTTAGCTAAAATGCGTGATCCGAGGATTTGGGTTGAGGGAGAATGCAACGAGTCGCTATATAAAGCAGCCGCAGCGCCGCTACCTGCATATAAACCGTGTCGCGGACACGGCCATGTTGAAATGACGCTATGCATTACGGGGCTCCCAGGGGCAGTTAAGAGTTGGTCTCTCTCCGAGAATAATTATGGATTTAACAACGATTACTGCCTGATGACATTTTCCCACATCTGCAAAGCTCACTGGAAGGACACAAACCGAGGACAATATTTTCCTGATATAGGGTTTATTACTCAAGTAAGGGTAAAAAAGTATCTGATTAGAAGTCTAATTGAGTACTGAGTATCATCTGATCTAATATTTTTAAATGATGACATCAAACAGACAAAAAATAAGAAGTTATGGGCAAATATTGGTATTTTAAAGACTAAAGGGGAAACATGTAAACAAATAAACAACATAATTACAAAATAACACATTTTAGGCAAAATTTAGACACAAACTGAGGACAATATTTCCTGACATACAGGGTTTATTTAGTTGTCTGAAAATGTAACACGTTTAAAAAAATACCGCGATAATACCGAAAACCGTGATAGTTTTGGTCACAATAACCGTGAGGTTAAATTTTCACACCGTGACAACCCTAGTCTAGACTGTGTATATATTGAAACTAATACATAAATGCAGAGTTTTACCTGAAGACTTTCTGGCTGGTTTACTGGATTTGACATCAGTCCTAAGTACCACATCTGCTCTGGAGTTCTGTTCCTCTCTGTACGCAGAGGGTGGTTGTTCCAACCTTCAACAAATGCCTGGAGATCCATGTTAAGCTGTGGAAGGAATGTTTGGTGGACAGAAAAAAGATCTATATGGGAAAGAAAAATTAGTAAATATAATAAAATAGAACAGCTTAGATCCCAAATAAATGCTGGCTTGTGTAAGACATTATGTCAGTACCTTGAGATGATATATCAAGAAGGTCTTCTGCCTCCAAGCTGTGGAGTGTGTTGTAGTAACTTGAAGTTACACACATCCTGATGTCCCGCCATAAACGTTCGATTCTATAAACAGATTTGTATAAAATTGGATATAATGTTTATGTATTTAGCAGACTCTTTTATCCAAAGTGACTTACAAGTGAGAATGAGCCAGCAGGTTGCCCTTGAGACTAACAAAAGACACTAGTCAGGCAATCCTAGGTGGCAGTGAGGCAGCATAATGAATCAAAGAGGGAAGTGAACAGAGGTGTGTAGAGTGAGGGATGGGACTTCATAATGACTTCCAACTTTATGTAAAAAATAGGATAAATATCAAACAGTTAAACCAGCTCACCTTTGATTGTGCACACTTTTTCCTGATATAAAGCTTCCCTTATCAGTCCCACGCACAGTAAACATAAACCGAGCAATGTCGACATTCTCCACTCCTTGGTCGCCTCTAACCCTGTAAATAAAACAAATGTACTATTCTTTTGTGATTTAGGTGGAATAAAAGTTTGGGCAAATTTTTTAGGATCAAGAAGCAACAATTAACTGAAGCCTCTTACCTTGAGGGTATGCCATGCTGGTCAGTAGCCCTTTTAAAGACAGCAAAAGCAGTTGCAGCACGATTGTTTGTTGCAGCTTCCAAACACACAATCTGGAAAAATATGTGGTTACTTATTTAATTATATAGAATCACAAGAAAAAACAATACAACTTTTATATGTTGGATGTCTGTTTTAACATACCTTCCTGGAGTACCCATCAACAGCTCCAAAAATGACAATGTTGAACCTGTTGTGTAATTGATAAAACTCTCAGTACGATGTTTTACTTTCATCATCAAAGACTTAGGCTACGTTCACACTCCAGGCAAAAGCGAATCAAATCCGAATGTTTCCTGTCGTGTGACCCATATCGGATTTTTTGATGACAGTCTGAATGGCACAGATAACATTTTTTCAAATCCAGGTCAGTTTTATTTGTGGCACTGATTCCAATACATTTGTGATGTTTTCGAAAGCATCATGTCTTATGCTCCTGAGGTGAGGCGCTGACCCAGGGATTCAGGATCTGTCTGTACATCTTAAGTTTTTTAATAAAAAATTACAGGAGCGTCAGATCGGGGGGGGGGGGGGGGGGATGCTGCTGGAGGGGAGCCCCTCTCCTGTGTCCATAAGAGAGTGTGTGTTGGTGTGTGTGTGTGTGTGTGTGTGTGTGTGGGGGGGGGGGGGGGGGGTTTAGGGAAAGTAATAATATTGGAACACTGTGGGAATAAGGAGTACAATAGTTAATATATTTGAAAATAGTTTCCAGGTCAAAACAGGAGACTTGACAGGTGTGATCCTGGAATAATGGATGAAGTCTCTCAGTGAAGCCCTTCAGTTCACAGCCCCGTCTCTCTGTTCCAACTCCACAGAGCTCCTTATGTGGCTTGTTCTCTTCTGCACATGTGGGCCACTTTGAACATTTACACTGGAGTGTTTGCTGTTGCATTTCAGTTGTAATGTGAACAACCCACACAAAAAATCTCATTTACTCAAAAAAAAATGGAATGGAGCATTAACACCTGCAGAGTGAACATAGCCTAAGCAAAGTATTACTGACCTGATAAGTTTGTGGTTTGTGTCCACGTGCCACAGTGACAGCGGTCCTCTGACAGAATAAGTTCTTCTTACTATACAACCCAATCCAGTCAGTCTGCACAAAATCCCGAGTGAATCCACTCGATGCATTGAGGCGGTCAATCTTCGCCACTGCACATTGATTCTCATGGACAATAGTCTCCCCTTCACCATGCGATAACCTGCAGTGGGCATTTCAGTCTTTATGCGTTGGATTGCCTCATCAAGTTCGTCGTCAGAAATCTGGCTGTACCTCTGCCTGACAGATAAACCAAACTCGTTCATCCTTCTTTCAATGGTTCTTGCTGAAACGCCAAGTAATCTTGAAATGCAGGCAACAGACAAGTTCATATCTAAAAGTTCTTTCAGTCTTTCCTCCTCAATATAATATCTCGGACGACCCATTTCTCCAGAGACAGTGTCCACAGCACTGCTATTTTCCGCTTCTTGAACCTGTTTATTATGTTCAATAACAGATCCCATTAAATCTTGTAAAGCCTGCCTGATTTCTGGTGGGATATCTACAAGTCTATAAAGTGCATCCCAGAGGTACAGCTCCTGACGACATGTAAATTCCAAGAAATCTGTGTCCAGAGGAGTTCTTGCGAGGGCTGCCTCCAATTTCATAAAGAGCCTGGATATGAACTCTTGTCGTACAATGCCCTATAAAAAAGGTTTCAGATCAAATTGTTAGCATTTTTAAGCACATACTCATGCTCACAAACTTAGAATGTGTGTTTTGATTAAGCCCATTTGTTTGATTTAAAGAACCTTTTAAAAATGACCAGGTATTAAACATACTTTAGTAAGCATGCATATCTGGATTCAAAATATGTTTTTAATCAATTTGATTTAATATTTGAGTTTAAATGTTTTCATCAGCTGCAAACATACATTCACAACTAACTGAAATAAGTGCTTTAAAACATCAGCTCATTGATCTATACAATGTATTTTACTGAGTGAATTGAGTTACTGAAATAAATAAACTTCTCAATGATGGTTTTATTAACTGAATATTACTGTAATTACCTGTACATCTCGAGTCTCTGCTGATGCCATTTCCAACTGTAAGTTTTTCCATACAAAGCTGATCAAATGAGAAGACAAAGAAGAAAGAATGGTAGAAGTTACATTAGACTTTCTATTTACCAATTAAGTTAGCTACTTTTTTTGTTTTACTATTTAACTATTGGGGGAAACCCAAAAGTTTAGAATTTAACACTATTTAATTTGTAAATATATTATGTTATCTTGAGAGCTTGGGTCAGCAACTTTTAGTATTTCAAATAAATGTAGTGTTGTGTTACTGTTCTATTTCATCAGTTCAACGCAACAGACATGGAGGAAGCAAATGTAACAGTGAAAATGTACTTAGTTGACTAATGGAAATACAAACTTACGTCACCTTTAAAAAAAGACACACAACTCACATTTAAGGTCTGCTTTAATTAGTAAATCAGGGTATCTGCCGGTTTAATGGAGTCAAATTTAAGACTTTTTAAGATATTTTTAAGGCCACTTTGACCAAATTTAAGCTATTTTTTAAATTTAATTTAAGCTATAATTTCCAGCCATTGCCTGGAACCGGGGCTAACCATGTCGCCAATGTGGGATTAGCCATCCAGTTACCATTAAACTTGCACTTCCCCATGGCGCAAGCTCCCACTAGCTTAACCAGCTAATGTGCTCATCTAAAAATAGCCCCCTTTCACAACCAACTGAATGTGTACGGTTCCGCTTACGCCAACATCGTACACAAAAAAGAGATGAACACTAACTAGAAATTCACGAAAATTTTATAGAAATAAAAGAATCTTGTTTATTGGGTCTTTGAAAATTTAAGACCTTTGGAAACTGTATTTAAGGATTATTTGTCATTTTTAAGGCCTTAAAAGTTGGAAAAGCTAATATAAGACTTTTTAAGAACCTGCACATACCCTGTAAATGCCAAAAGGAATCTGAAAGAAGAAAAACATACTACAGTCAATATGGATTCTCAAATGAAGATTGCATGTAGAAACTAAGGTGGTGCTTTAATCATGATAATCTTGTACAAGAGTGTCACTCCGTTAACTGTGCTGTAAATTATTGTATGACTTCTATACCTGTCACCCAGTATCAACCGGATTTCTGGCTGTTTACAGGCTCTTAAATGTCCCATTCGATTTCTTTAGCAAAGGGCAAGCTAAGCAGTTAGCGTCAAAAATACGCATACAAGTTAACACCAAGTATTAGCTACCGAACTACCTAGCCTGTTTTACCCGATCCGGTTTTTACCAGAGCAAGTATTATTGTGAATATCTACATGTATAATCCCATGTTTCTATCATAAACTCACAAAAAGTTTACTCACCAAACCTCCGATTCAGCCACGCTAGCTGCATTGGTTAGCTCCGGACACTAAGGAAAGCCATCGGCGCCAACAAAGGTCACGGGGCGGGGATAGCAGGAAAATGGCCAATCAAATGCATGCTAGTTTTTCCCGATGGGTTTTCCGTGTTTTTTTTTTCTACCCACAAAGGGAGGGGGAGGAGGGGTTGATGCCAAAGTTTCACACGAGCGCGCAGGAGTAGATACACGAGCGAGCAGATTACTAACTAACTAAAACTTTATTTATATAGCGCCTTCACATGGCCCATGGACCAAAAAAGCGCTGCAAATCAGAAATAATCATAAAAAAAATAAAAACATATAAAACCATTTAAAAACCAACAAAAACTTGCAGATAAAATCTAGGCGGGGCAGCAAAAAGTGCAAAGCCATCAGTTAATGGGACTCTTCCTGAATAAAAGCTAAAGAATAAAAGTGAGTTTTCAGCTGGCTCTTAAACTTGCCAAGTGTGGTGGCCTGTTTAACACATGTAGGTAGCTCATTCCAGAGCCTCGGCCCCAGCACTGAGAAAGCACGACCCCCTCGAGATTGTAGTCTGTGTTTAGTGTAGCGGAATATAGTTGGTATATTCTTACACTTTATTAAGGTCCAGAGACTAATCTTACCTTAGAATCAGAGGAGGTTGTTTTTACCACAGGGAATTTTATTCAAACACTTTGTATTGACTTAGAGACAAGAAAAGAGAAATATGGGACGTTTAAGAACATTTATTTTTATAATTATTCGAAACAGTCACCAGGACTAACTCTATAATGATGGATGCATAAGGATTTGGATGCTGAAGTGTTGGTGTGTGTGTGTCAGTTCAGAATCTCCATCTGATGCAGGCGAGTCTGAGTGTAAGATGTTGTTTTGACTAACTAACCACGAGGGACTTCAGGAGGAAGAGACATGAAACGCCATCTATGCCGAACTACGTACCTTCGGAGACTCCCGTGTATGATCTTGAATGCCAGGTCCTCGGACCCTCCTTTGGTGCTGGAACTGATAGCACAGCGTCTGCATCACGACAAACCAGTCTACGGATCGACTCCCGGTAGCAACGGCAGGTGTCAGCATCACGTAGAGTTCAGCTTTTATTCTGAAGGAACCGTCGTCTTGTTGATAAACGACAGAATTTTCCAGCTTGACAGTTCTCAGCTTAAAAGTAGAAAATACAGCTGGCCAGTCTGTAATTCACTTAGCGATGATGGATTTGAGAGCTGGTCGAGTACTTGGTTGGAACTGCGTTGAACCAAGTTGAACTACGTTGAAACACCTTGTTGGAACTGACCTAAAATGGCGTTGTTCTGTTTTATTAAACTTAGTTGCTTATAATTCTTTGCGAATCGGAGCGGACAGATTAACTAAACACCACAGACTCTGCCCCGCAACAGAAAGGAAGTTCTGACTGGATGAGTGAACAATGTGTCATGTGTTTACCTTATGTGGATCAGAATGTCTAGCTCAAGTCCTGTAATTCATTAAACACATAAATCATAACATTGTGATTTCACAGATCGGTCACCTGATTATTATTGACCAACAGTTGTTTTGATTAGCTTTATTAAAAATAAAGTTCTTTGATTAACTAATGAAAAGCGTTCTTCGTCCTTCTTCTGTCTTCTTTGCTGTAATGCAAACATCAAAAGCAAGCACACGACCGTGGCAATTTATGCACACTGTCACTGTGTCAAAGGTGCTAATGAAGGAGAATCAATCCTTTGGGCACATCCATGTTTGTATTTCGGGCAGAACAGGATAGTCTCAGTTTTATTCTGGTTGAAGAACAATACATTTTGAGCCATCCATAGCTTGACCTCCTCCAGGCAGTCCAAGAGTGGTTTAAAAGAACTTGAGTTATTGCATGATACTGGTAAACAGATTAGACAGTCATCTGCATACAGTTGAAACTTGACGTTGTGCCGACGAAACCAGTCCCCCAGCGGCAGCAGATAGAGGGAAAAGAGGAGAGGTGCCAGGACTGATCCCTGAGGCACTCCACACTGCAAATCAGCAGTATCAGACGAACAGTCCCCCAGTCTTACCCCGGCTTTCCACAGGAGCCGTCAGCAACACGTTACTGCAGCAGCACGTTATAGCTGCTGATAGGAACCGCTGTAGTCAACAGAACATTTTCCACTGGAGCCGTCAGCAGCGCAAGTCGGCCGCGTCTGAGAAGCTGCATGTCGCGGCCTTTACGCGCCGGTTCTATTTTCTACGTGCGACGCCTCTGAAACGGGTTAAGTTCTACATTTTTGGGGAAGGAAAGACAGCAAATGGGACACGGAAATGGAGAGAAGCTCCCGAAATTTTCAGAATAAAGAACGTACTGCCTTCAGGTTGCTTTACTTTAAAAAAGGTTACTAACTGTGCGGCCCCGTGAGAAGTTATCACCTAGCTAGCGGTCTCCTTTGTTTTTCAGGTCCGTATTGGCGATTATAAAACGGACAGAACATAAAACACAAACATTTTGGATCCATGTTGTAGTTTTCTTCTGCTTGTTGTTGTGTTTACTGACGAAGTCACTCGTGTGACTTCGTGCTCGGTCGGTGACAGCTGCTCCCCTGCTGCTTCGCGTCTCGTGGGAAGGGCCAAGCAGCAGCTTACGCGAGCAAGACGTGCTGCTGCAGTAACGTGCTGCTGACGGCTCCTGTGGAAACCTGGGGTTACACAAAAATTTCTCCGACAGATTTTATCCACTGGAGTGCTAAGCCTGATATTCCCACCCAGTGCTCCGGTCGACCAATCAGGATATTGTCGTCTATGGTGTCAATGCAGTTCATGCGTGTGTTGTTTTGTGCCTGCAATTGTGGAGCCGCCTCCCGTGGTCACTGAATTGTGCGCATGAGATGTTCGATGCACCCGTGGAGCATAATGTACGCTCGCGGTGAACAATACTGATTGCAATGTGCGCATGGAGTTAGATACACACTCGTGGACTGACTTTTGTGTGGGCGTGATTTTTTTGCGGGATTCTAATGCCATAATTTACCCACTACACTCCTCAGCACAAGTGTGTTGCCTGTGTTCCTGACTTGCTTTTCATAATTGTTTTTTCGTTCCATGACTCCCTTTTTGTTCTGAACACAGCTTGTGACGGACCAAGCCTATGGCCTCGTCCCCATTTAGCTCCAGATTTAGTAAATATTCCATTACCATTTTAATGAGACAATAGTTCACCTTTGTATACTTTCAAAAACAAATTACCATTGCCTCCACATAGGTAAAAGGTTACTATTAATTTAATTTTGTATTACTTCTAATGCTTAAAAAACAGAGTATATGAAACCCCTCAAATAAAAATTTAAATATTTTTTACAATAAGCACATTTTGGTGATGTTAATGTTCATATTATTTTGTATTATTCTACATTATCTGGGTTGTACTTTTAAAAAAAGAAAGCATACAACAAAACCCAGCAACAGGTGTCAAATGCAGATTTTTATTAAATGTTGAACATTTCAAAAGTCGAATATGCTGCTACATGTCTTTAAAGAAGAGAACAACCTTTTACTTTTAGCATTTCATACGCGTGAGAACTCCTGACCCATGTTGAATGCTTCCATCAGGACACATTTAAATTCCTCATATGTTCTCATGTGTTGAACAGGGAAGGTTATCGTATTGCTACAAGCTGCAACAGATGGGTAGCAGATCTTGTGTGGACCAAAAGTTGATTCACACTCATGAAGGAACTTGATGATAATTGTGAAATTCCTTCTCTCCTCTTGCAATACAGGAACATGGGCCTGTCCTGTTATCCACTGCAAAAAGGCTCTTGGATAGACCGGTGTGCCTTTCTCTGCGCTCAGTGAGGATTCTTCAAAAAGAAAGATAAAAAAAGAGTCATGTATATAGCTACCATCATACATCCACATTTAACTAAGTGTGAAAACAATTACTACAGTCAATTTACTTTCTGGCACTCATGCTGAGGAACAAATGTAACAAAATGGAATAGATGCATGGAAGATTGATGAAGACATGGAAATAATAGTACATTTAATTCTTACTGATTACTTTATAAGAAAATGTGCCTAGATTAAGATCAGTTACCTTCCTCGAGTTCCTGTAGAAAATCTTGCAGATGATTCATCAAGGTGACCTCTGACTGTTCCTTGTTAGAACCTTTCTCGCTGAAATCAGCGTGGCAGACAGAAATGATAAAGTCTGCATCTGCCTGTAAAGACAATGAATGAAAGCAATGCCTTTGAGTTAGTCACATGTACAAGTTTGTTTTTTTTATGTAATTCACATAGGCAATTTTTGTCAATTGCCCATAATGTGTCTACAATATTAAGTAACTTGTGATTAGTGACATCAAAGACCATTAAATGCAAAACAAAATCTGAATTAGTCCTACATTTGTGTATTAGTCTTGAATAGTTAACATGTTACACAAATTGTTGATGTATCATGTTTTGAATGTGAAAAGTTAACATAATATGATTATTAATAATAATACTTATAGCAATGTCTTGCTGAAAAATTCCTAGAGTCTGACTGATTAGACAAGTTTGACAGATGTGTGGCAGATAATTTCAATTACAACCAAGGAGAATATAAAACAAATCCACATGTTTCTCCCTCAATTGTCTTTTACATTTTTTTTCCTTTTGGGAGACTACAGTGAAAAAAGTCCATCCAAATGGGCTGCATGGTGGCACAGTGGTTAGCACTGTTGCCTCGCAGCACGAAGGTTGCATGCTCAAAACTCGGCTGCAGCCTTTCGGCGTGGAGTTGCGTGTTCTCCCCATGCATGCGTGGGTTTCCTCTGGCTACTCCAGTTTCCCCCACAGATCACAACATGCCCTATAGGTTATAAATTGTAAGCCTCTTTGGATAAAAGCGTCAGCCAAATAAATAAACATAAACATAAACATAAACAAATAACTGGTTCAAAGCTAACCTATAGAACTGTAATTGATTGAACTCCAGTTTAGCAGGACGCTCAAGTCAGCATGACTCTGGCTGCTGCAATTTTATCTCCCCTGACACACGGACCAACTATGTGGTCAAGCAGTTCAAATGCTCTCCATGTTCAGCAGCACAAACTTATGTGAGCAACTGTTGTCTATAATGCATATGAATATAACAACACAGGAGTCTCAAGGATGAACTCCTTCCTCGGCTCAGAGCCAACCCCAGAGGTGCAGGTGTCTGGCTTGAACAGGTGAACATCAGAGCGGAGCAAACTGAGTTTTAATAATTTTTGTTTTATGCACTTTTTGGCCTCTAAAGCATGAAAGTTAATAGGTCAAATATTGGATTTTTGAAATTGAGTTCTGCACCCCTGCTCTATAGAAGCCCCCTGACAAAATATTATGATGCTTTTATACTGGCTGGCTGAGCCAATGAAGTTATACATTTATAGTATGTTATGCTAGTGTTGTACCAGATAATTATGACAATATGCTAGAAAAGTGACTTGAATTTTGAAAGTTTATCGTGAGTCTTTAATAATCAGCAACCACTCTGTGCATGGTCATGAGGTTGCCAAAGCAGTTATTGGGTGAGAGGCACCGTGGCCAAATTATTCAGTCTATCGCAGGACAATACCACCACCGAGTGACTTTCAAATGCCACTTTTTACAATGAACACTAAGAGCACTTACTTTCATTTCCACACCTGGCACGAACAATGGCTGACAAATATCAGGATACCTTTCCATCATATCTGACAAGCCATAGAGCCTCAGCCCCTCCCTTATCTGCTGCAAGATTGGAAGCACCCTCAGATTTGCATGCAGGATTACGGATCTGTTGATAAAAACAGACAGCAAAAATAAACTGGTGATTAATTTGTTTTTAATTTTGTTTACTAAACATAATGTGAAATGAAACAGGTTATTGACAGTAATATTATTCCTGGAATACCAAGGTTGTCTAATTGTTTAAATACAATAATATGCATAAAGTTGGTTAGTTACAACAACATTTCAAAGGAGATAATAGTTTGTACAAATCTGCTATCATCTCAGCCACCTAATATCTGTTTCAGTGGGGTGTGTGTGTGCATAGAACATGTAAACTACCACAGAACAGCACTACGCCCTCTGTTGTCCTGGCTGGGAATTGCTTTGCAACACTCCCCAGTAGACGGAGAAGTATGAGAGCAAAACGTCTCCATCCATGCGTGCATGCAATCCAGTCTGCAACAACGATGAATCAGCTGTGTGCCACTGTGGAATTTAAAATGGTACACACGTTGGGCACGGGTGATGTAGATAGGTGCTGCCTCGTCCTTTTCTCAGACACTTTTGGTTCCACCAAGCTCGTGCCTGGTTCCTGTGTCGGGAATGTTGGATCTTTCTCTATCGTCTCTTCTGCACTGCTCCCTGATTTTTCAGCGTGTTGTTCAGAATTCAAATCTATGGCTTGTGGAGCGGATTCCCTGGATTAAGGACAGCTCTGATGCTACTTCCATAAAGTTTGCCTCTCTCAACGCCAGGTCCCTTTCTAATGGGCAATGAGTTCCAGAGCATGGGGGCAGCATGGACAAACGCACGTTCACCTCGTGATTTGTAGTACATCCGGGGAGTGCAAAGCAGTAGACGGTCAGCTGACCTCAACATACGAGTAGGTACATAAGGAGTCAGTAGGGCGGACAGATAAGGAGGAGCTAGGTCGTGTAGGGCTTTAAAAACAAACATCAATATCTTAAAACGTACACGAAATGTGATGGGGAGCCAGCGAAGTTGTTACAGGACTGGTGTAATATAGCAATGTCGGCTTGTTTGTTAAAAACCTAGCAGTGGCATTTTGGACAACCTGCGACCAGTTCAGGGCAGAGACAGGAGTTCCAAGTAATAATGCATTATTGTAGTCCAATTGATAGGTGACAAAAGCGTGGATGACTGATTTCAAGTACTTCCTCTTTAAGATCAGTCTTAAATGACTTAGGCGGCATAACTAATAAAAACAAGACCTCACCACTGAGTCGATCTGAGGAGTTATTGAGAGGTTGGCATCCACTTTTACCCCGAGGATTATTACACACTGCTTAGGGTTTAAACCATCAAAAGTGGAATGAGAGCCAGAAGGACTGCGGGTTTCAAAGACAATGGACTCAGTCTTTATCATTCACCATGACAAGGAGGGAGCCCAGGGAAGAAATAATCATTAACAAGTGTTTTTATGTGTTCCACACCTTTAAATAACTACAGTAGTTAAAATGCATATTAAAACATCAATGTTTAAATTTTAAGGAATTAAAACTTATGATAAAACAATATGCTCCTGTGTGTGATGACATTACACATCAACAGCTGGATCCAAACCTGAAGTAGTCTGCATACATACCGCATTATCTCTTCCTTTTTATCCAAACTGATCATTCCAGTGTACCCACAGTCCAAAATCTCTTCCATGATGTCTTGAAGAGTTGTATCATTTGCTGACTGAACCTGAAATAAGACAATTTCCAATATTTAATGCCATACTATGTAACTTTATCATATTTTTTTAAAGAGAGGATTTCCTGCGTTCATTTAAAATAAATATTAAAATGTTTCCACAGAGGGATGGAGGCACTGGCTGCAGAACTCAAAGAGTGCAAAAAATTTCCATAGGTTGTCATTTTAATATTGCAATAGAGGGCTGCGTTGGGATTGGATCCCGACGGGTCCCGCGGGACCCAACACAAATCTCACGGGAGCGGGCAGGGTGAATTTTGCTGCGGGCGGGAACGGTCGGCTAAAAAAAACAGTGCGGGATCGGGATGAGCATGACGGAGTCAGCAACTGACGTTGAAAAGAAGCTGAAACAAGTTCTTTATGACACGAAAGTCAAGCAAGGCAAGTCAGACATTTAGAGGAGTTTCTCAATTGTTTGTGACAAAGCTGGAAACAAAATGGACTTTGTCAGTTGCGAGAAATGTGCAAAAATACTCGTCTACAATGGACACAAATACGGCACCTCTGGGTTGAGGCGGCACACCTGCTCTGTTCTCCCTGGTCAAAGTAAGCTGCTTTTCAAGGATAAACCACTTCTCCCTGCACAAATGAAACAAGAAACTGCTGAGAAATGTGTGGAAGTGTGCTGCGCAGACATACGGCCGTATGATTTTGTTTCCGGGAAAGGCTTTGTTGACATAGCGCAACATTTTGTTAATGTTGCCACTGAATATGGCAAATTTGATGTAAAAGATATTTTACCTCATCCAACCAGCAGCCAAGATAAGTGCCTCAGTAACTAATATCTAAATCGAGATCCCTATACCCAACCAATTAGAGCCTTTAGGGTGGGGTTTCCAGAAGTGTGTACTGTGCAGCTGTTTTATTTTTGTGAACTTTCACTCGATGCATAGAAAACTGCTAATAATATTTAAGTCACAGTTGTCCAGAAAACACAGCAAGGAGGACACAAACTTTTTCACATTTGTAAATAAGAGGAGATACATCACCCTGTTAGTTTGTCTTTACAGACAAATCTCAATGCTGAACTCTTTGTCTCCAACAACGGTTTAAGTTGTATAAGGTTAAAACATGTAGTTATTTAAATATTTTGTTATAGGGAAATTGATGTTTTGTAACAGCTGTCCTAGTGTGCTCACCTTTGACAAAAGATCAGAGAAGTGGTCATCGCTCACATCATTTTCCCCCATGCCTTCAAAGTCAGGGGATCCAGAGCACAAAACTTTATAGCACCAAGGCATCATAAAGTTTGGAGATGGTCCACCTTGAGCCACACTGGCAGCCATAATTTCTCCAACAGTCCTGGCAAACACAAGGAAAAAGCACATTTGTAGGTCCCATCATTTAATGTGATGTCATTACTGACATCACATTTTTTTGTTTACAACTTTCACATAAATATTACAAAACATGAGCAATCATTTTGCTTCACAACCAATTTTAACAAAGGGATTAATGTGGAAAAAAATTAACTGCTTTCAGATACATTAATTTGCGATAACCATTATTCTTAATATTTTAATGATTTTTAAATATAATTTAAGTCAGAATAAAAAATTAAAAACAGATAAAACATTCCAGTACTTACCTGAAATATCCTTTATCAAAATCAGACAGGGAATATTTTGGCATGCAGCCATGTTTTCCTGGCAAGAAGAAGCGCTTCTCAATCCCTGCAATCATTTCTGGAAAAACAACAAAATTGTCTCCAATTAAAAATATATATATATACCATACAGTTGTGGAACTACACAAATGTAGTTATTTATTAATTAACTTATTGGCAAGTCTTACATACTTTGCTAGGCCCAAAATTAAGTTGCCAAAAGGATATAACTAAGCAAATAGGTATAAGCCTCCTTTTGGATTACTGATTAGGTGTTTATCTTTCAGCTGGCAACAAGATCACACTGAGGTTCTTTACTTTCTCAGAGGCTAATTGTCATGCTGGTCAGATCAGGTGAAGTTTTCTTTTCTGAGATTCTTGTCCAAAGTGTTGTCTGGATAAAACAGCTGTTAACAGCAATCGACCAGATTGGGTTCATCTGGGTTTATTAATAAATATAACTACATTAATACTATAGTTTTACCATCGACAGTGGGTACAGAAATTATTCAGACCCGCATCCATTTTTCATTTGTTATATTGCAGCCATTTGCTGAAATCAATAAAATTATGTTATTACCTCATTAATGTACACACACAGCACCCCATATTGACATGAAAACACAGAATTTAACAAGTTTCTGCAGTTATTCAAAATAAAAAATGAAATATCACATGGTCCTAAGTGTTCAGACCCTTTGCTGTAACACTCATATATTGAACTCTGGTGCTTTACATTTCTTATGATCGTGCATGAAGAGTTCAGAGACAGAATTGTGGCACAGATCTGGCCAAGGTTACAAAAAACATCTCTGCTGCACTTAAAGTTCATAAGAGCACAGTGGCTTCCATAATCCTTAAATGGAAGATGTTTTGGATGACCAAAACCCTTCCTAGAGTAGGCCGTCTGGCCAATCTGAGCTACTGGGGCAGAAGAGCCTTGGTGAGAGAGGTAAAGAAGAACCCAAAGATCACTATGGATGAGCTCCAGAGATGCAGTCAAGAGATGGAGCAAGTTGTAGAAAGTCAACCATCACTGCAGCGCTCCACCAGGAGCATCAGGACTTTATGGCTGAATGGACGCTGGAAGCTTCTACTCTGTGCAAGACACATGAAAGCCTGCATGGATTTTGCTAAAAGACACCTGAAGACCCTGAGATGGTGAGAAACAAGAAACTCTGGTCTGATGAGACCAAGACAGAACTTTTTGGACTTAATTCTAAGTGGTATGTGTGGAGAAAACCAGGCACTGTTCATCACTTACATCCAATAAAGTCCTCAAAGTGAAGCATGCGATGGCAGCATCATGCTGTGGGATGTGGTGTTTTTAAGCTGCAGGGACAGGATGACAGAACTATGAATGTGGCCAAGTACAGGGATATCCTGGACAAGAACCATCTCTGGAGAGACCTAAAGATGGCTGTCCACCAACGTTCACCATCCAACCTGACAGTACTGGAGAGGATCTGTAAGGAGGAGTGGCAGAGGATCCCAAAATCCAGGAGTAATAAACTTGTTGCATCTTTACCAAGAAGACTCATGGATGTATTAGCTCAAAAGGTGTTTCTACTAAATACTGAGCAAAGGGTCAGAATAGTTAGGACCATGTGATGTTTCATTTTGTCTTTTTTAATAAATCTGCATAAATTTCTAAAATTATTTGTTTTTCTGTCAATATGGGTTGCTGTGTGTACATTAATGAGGAAAAATAAATTGAATTGATTTTAGCAAATGGCTGCAATATTAGAGTGAATAATTGATGAGGGGTCTGAATACTTTCCGTATCCACTGTATATTCTATCAGAAGCTAATGCAGGACATAGGTGTAGGAGAATATTTTCATGTTCAGCCTGCATGAAAAATTCTGAGTGACCGATTATAATCAGAAATAATCATTAAAATTTTATTTTCAGTGAACCACACCTTTACATACAACAATGTGTAAAGACACATCTGGAAAATATGTTAGTCTGTTTGACAAGGGTCGATAATTGCCATGCATCAAGCAGAGAAAACATCTAAGGAGATGAGGAAACAACTAAAACTGGGTTAAGAACTGTCCAACGCTTTATTAAGAACTGGTCTGATGAGTCTAGATGGACCCTGTTCCAGAGTGATGATTCATCATGGTAAGAAAAGAGGCAGTTGAAGTGATGCACCCATCATGCGTGGTGCGTACTGTACAAGCCTGTGGGGGCAGTGCTATGATCTGGGGTTGCTGCTGGCGGTCAGGTCTAGGTTCAGCAACAGGATGTGCTCCAAGAATGAGGACAGCTGACTACCTGAACATGCTGAATGATCATGTTATTGGTGGGCAGCGTATTTGGTGAAATTGTAAAATAGCCAATTTGAAATTGGCACAAAAGTTCATCGATTTTAGCATAGTAGAAGGTGATGATAAAAAAATTTTCAATGCTGACAAAATATAACAAGTAACAGGTAAATAAATGACTTTGTCAAAATGAAACATCAAGTCGTTGGAATGATATTATGTTACCTGTCAAAAATTCCTTGCGGAGGGCTCCTGTATCTACACCTGCTTCACCTATGAAGGTGACTTTTAGCTGGTTTGTGGGTGAGGTTCTTTTTTGCCGTTGCCACTGTACAATACCTCTTTCCAGCATATTATGTCGAGACACTGTGATTTCAAAGCTGATGTCATCTTTGGATACAGCATTGGTTATTTCTGTCATCACATCTGCAAGACTAACATCAGCAGAAGAAATAGGAATCGTTAAGAACATTTGGCTAGGAGTAGAATCTGAGAAAGATGAGTATTTTTTTAATAAAAATATATAAAATGTTAACTGTCTTCATATGTCTATTTTACATAGATGGCATTTTAATGTGTAAATTACTTTTTCACTCCACACCCAAGTGATTCTGGAGCGTCTTCTGGTCTGGGTGAGTTTTCCGCATGACTGAGGAGGAAAAGGAGGGGTTACAACAGGATTATAAATGCCTCTCATTTGCTATTACCATTACAGTAATGTTCCCTCACCTGTCTCCACAGTAGCTGGCATGAATCTGTAAAAAATCCAGTTTATATTTCTGCTGGCAAATTGGACAAGCTGCCTAAAAGGAAATTAAGATGCAATGTTTTAGACCACAATTTCTAAGCCCAAGGTGACACTTCTTCAAGACAACCAGAAACATCCAATTGTTTTCACTTTTAATTCTTAAAATGATCTTCTTCTGAATGTTTGACAATCTACCTCGCTTTTCCGTCTGTCTTTCACACAGTCGAACGTACGCCAGCCCGCACACACACACATACACACAAGGTTACACCACAACAAATGTGTGACGAAGTAGCAGATTGTTCTGCAGTGAAGAACTGTGTAAGGATATTGTCATTCAGAAGATATTTATGTTTTATTTCAAAAGAAACATCATTAAACATAGCTCACAATCAGAAAACACACAGACTGTTGTATGCTGTTTCTGACTGAGCTCAATCTTTAATGAACATTTAAAATAATCACTGGTATGAAAATGTACTTGGCTCTTACTTGTTAGTTATGAAGTATAACAGAACATTAACTACTAGTCAATTTAGAAAATGTGTGTACTGTCCATTATGTGAAAATAAGAACAGGTCATACTCAAAAAGTTTTTTTAAGGTTTATAAATAGGTGAACATTACCAGATCTGCCCTGTCTGATGTTCCAGGGAGGCAGTCATCATTTGAAGTAGGTGTTCCAGGGAAATTGGCATCATCTGCTGTTGGTGTGAACATTACTGTTGTACCTCCACCAGCATGGGTTTCTGGAGGAGAAAACTTTCAGGAAAATTTTTTTATTTAGTTAAAAAAAGAAAACAAATTATAAATGAAAAAGAAAGATAGTGTGTGACAGATGGTAGCCGAGGGCGGGGACCTTGACAGTCTGACTTTTGGCTACAGTAGCTGGCTTTCGGCATGTGGAAAGTCACCTCTCTGGTGGGGAAGGAACTTGAGTTGGTGGTTCAATTCAATTCAATTCAAGTTTATTTATATAGCGACAAATCACGACAAGAGTCGTCTCAAGGCACTTCACATGATAAACATTCCAACTTCATGGTTGAGGTTGAGAGGTTCCGACTAGATATAGTCGGACTCACCTTGACGCATGGCTCTGGAACCAGTTTCCTTGAGAAGGACTGGACACTACCACTTTGGAGTTGCTCCCAATGAGAGGTGCTGAGCAGGAGTGGGCATGCTAGTTGCCCCCCATCTTGGTGCCTGTACGTTGGTGTTTACTAGGGTTGGGCATCGAGCATCGATTGGAACTGGTTCCAACAGTTAGTATTCCCCGGAATCGTTCAGTTATTTTTTTTCGATCCGTAGTAGCGATTCGTAGTGTGCCGACAGAAGAGGAATCTGCGGCCAATCTCCGTGAAAAATAAACGTGATCTTCAAATTGTGATCGCTTTTCATAGCTGATCACACCACCTGTGGTTAGCTGGTTCATGTAAAGCTTGTCATGTCTTGAAAGAATCGGAATCGGGAATCGATAGGAACCAGAATCGAAACGAGGAATTGGAATCAGAATCGTTCAAAATCAAACAATGCCCAACCTACCCCCGTGAACAAGAGGGTAGCCTCCCTCTGCGTACATGTGGGGGAACGAGTCCTGACTGTAGTCTGTGCTTTTGCACCAAACTACAGTTCAGATTACCCACCCATTTTGGAGTCCTTGGAGCGGGTGCTGAAGAGCACTCCTTCTGGTGGCTCCCTTGTTCTGCTGGGGGACTTTAACGCTCATGTGGGCAACAACAGTGAGACATGGAGAGGTGTGTTAGGGAGGAAGGCCACAGCTCAATGATTGACTTTGTTGTCGTCTCATCTGATCTGCGGCCACATGTCTTGGACACTCGGGTGAAGAGAGGGGCGAAGCCGTCAGCTGAAAGTCACATGTCAATGAGTTCTCAATCAACTCATCTGGTTAAATCAAATTAAATTAAACTGACTACTACCCTTTGATGGTGGGGGAGGATGCTAGTCAGACCTGGCAGGTCCAAACATATTGTGAGGGTCTGCTGGGAACGTCTCCTGTCAGAAGGAGCTTAAATTCCCACCTACAACAGAACTTCCCAAATGTTCTGATGGAGACAGGAGACATTGATTACGAGTGGACCCTGTTCCATGGCTCCATGGTTGAGGCGGCTGAGAAGAGCAAGGTGAATAGAATTCTATATGGTCTTTTTGGACTGTGGGACTCCAAAGGCAGCTGATCCATACCAGCAGTCCAAGCGAGATGTGGCTTGGGTGGTAGCAGAGGCACAAACCTGGGCGTGTAAGGAGTTTGGTGAGACCAAGATTTCCATACAACTTCAAGGCTTCAAGGAAATTATGGTCCAACATCCGCCGCCTCAGGAGGGGAAAGCAATGCTCCACCAACAGTGTTTAGAGTGGGGACGGTGTGCTGCTGACCTCGACTTGGGACATTGTGGATCGGTGGCCGGAGTACTTCAAAGACCTCCTCAGTCCCACCGGCACGTCTTCCAGTGAGGAAGCAGAGTCTGATACAAGCAGGTGAAATGAGTTTTCTCCACAGGGTGGCTGGGTTCTCCCCTAGAGATTGAGTGAGAAGCTTGGTCATCTGAGAGGGGCTTGGAGTGGATCCGCTGCTCGTCCACATCAGTTGAGGTGGCACGGGCATCTGATTAGGATGTCTCCTGAATGCATCCCTGGTGATGTTTTCCAGGCACGTCCCAGCGGGACGAGACCTAAGGGAAGACCCAGGACACGCTGGAGGGACTACGTCTTTCGAGAGGGTGCTCGCTGCAGAACTACAAAGGCGGAGCTGCACCAGAGTCAGCCCCGCCCATTCACGCAAACTCAGCCTAGCCCACTGACTTCCATTTTTGTTTTCAACTTTATCGCAAACTAACCTGACCCACATGAATTACGGCTGTTACTAGTTTACAGTCGTTAATGCTATGTTCTACGCTCCAATTAAACAAGATAAATATAACTTGCTACATGACAAAGTCTGAATATATCCCGAAATAAAAAGGTTTCTCTAAGCGAATATCTGCCCACAGCCGCTCTAACAAAAGTGCTGTACAACAGCATGTACCACTACCATGAGGGTTCTGGTAGTCCAGTGGCAAGGTCGTCAGACTTAAGTTTTGCTTTCCCCTCAGCTGATGCTGGTTCGATTCTTGGTGGGGTCGGCAACAATCTATTTAGCCAGTTCTAATGTTCATTTTCAGCAAAATATTTATGTCTCTACAAGTTCTTTGAATTTGGTCGTTCCTAAACAGCATTTTAGTTGAAACTCTGCTCACAGATGGACTCACACTGGCTAAATAAACGAATGAATAAATAAAAAAAACACATTAGTCATTATATGTTAAACGGCATACCAATAAATTGTTGTAAACATAGTACTGGCAAGTGTAGCTAGAAATGAGGAAAAGAGATTATAGAATATTTCCACTGCTGGGAGGCGAACCCGCGCAAAATTGCATGTCAACCTGACACCATCACCATTACACCACCACATCTGATAAAATTAGGTGGCGTTACATTTGATTATGATATTTGGTGTGTCTTTGTAGATGGGATGTATGATTTTTCTGGCGGTGTCTCAGTAGAAGTCATTTCAGAAATAATTTGCCAGAAAATTCACAGAATATCCAGATTTGAGAACCAAGACCAGACCCGCTTCGGGGGAGGAGACCAAATTGAAGCTGAGATGGGAAGAAAATGCTGACTCTGATAGAATGGGCGGGGCTGATTCTGGAATGGGCGGGGCTGAATCTGGTGCAGCTCCACCTTCTGGTGCAGCTCCGCCTTTGTGGTTCTGCAGCGAGCACCACTTGCGTCTTTCGGCTGACCAGGGAATGCCCCCCCCCCCAAATCGGTCCAAGTTGCTGAGAAGAGGGAATTCTGGACCTATCTGCTTAGGTTACTGCCCCCACCACCCGACTCCAGATAAGAGGATGAAAATGAATGGATGGATAGAATAATGACAGTAAACAAAAAATGATTACCTCATTAGAAGTTTCAAAATCATCCCCTGAGGATATCAGATCAACACACGATTTCACATGGACAGCCAAGACGTGTAATGGCATGGTAGCACTGCAAACTTTGCATGATGCCTTAGGCATGCTTTGAAATTCTAAAGCATCAGGAGGAAGAGGTGATGTGTCAAGTTCTTCTTGAAGAGGAATCACGTAGATCATGTTTTTCCCTCCTCCTGTTACACTTTTCAAAAGGCTGCCATTGTAACCCTCAGCCTCTGGAGGTATGAGTGAAAGCTTGCGCTGTCCAGAACCTCCTAAAATAGTAATAATAGTAATAATAATTATAATAAAAGTTACATAATATAAAAGCAAAAAAAAATTAAAATTGAAGTTTTACAGTTTTTAATACCTAGTGCTTTATAAAGTAGCCATCCCCCTGTCAACCTTTCAAGCTTTGGATAGTGAGTGGTCAGGAGCCCAGAAATCTGTTCATGAATGACACTTTTGTTAATTATTTAAATATGTGCTTTAGAAATTACATGAAAATGAGGAGTTTACTTTACCTCCGTGTGATCAGCAGACTCAGGAAATGTAACAGCTCGTCTCCCCATTCCAGCTAGTATGAGTGTTAACTCTGTACTTGCCTTGGGTGTTTTGTCTGTGTTTTGATGAAGTAAAAAAAAAGTCACTGTTACACTTTTGCCATTGGTGCTGGTGACCACTCTGGAGGGAGAGAAAAAGCGTTTTCTTCCCCTTGCAGAATTTCGAGAAAAAAGTCCAGGGAAGGACCTAGAAATCAGACAGAAATAAAAGTTATGGTGATAAGGCAATGTCTTGTGACAGAGTGAAACACACAGTGCTAGGGCAGGGACAATAATAAATCGATATATCGTACGATAGAAGAAAATAAAATCAATCATTTTTCCAGCCTCAATATATCGAGGTTAAGAAATATTCTACTCTATTATTATTATTTATTATCATTATTGAAGTGCAGTTTTGGTTGTTGACACTGGATAGGCCATTGTTTATAATGTTTTGGAGAGAAAGGGTCCATTTTATTGTTTTATTGTTTATGCTGCAATATTTTGTAACACAGAACTACTCCTTTTTAATTGATTTGTTTATTTATTTATGCATTTTTTTTGTTTATTTTATTTATTTAGAATTTCTGGTTCTGGACATTCCAATGTTAAATAAAGTTCAAATTGTTGCATTTTAAATGGTGTACTTCCTGACACATCTGATAACCCACAGCTTCAACTTAGTGCAGTCATGGGCAGCGTCATGTGTCACTGCATGCAACTTAAGTGATGATTGGTTGTTAAGGAATGTCCCTGGATGCAATCCGCAGTTGCAGATTCCACGCAAGGAAGGGCTGAAATTATCGTACATGTGGGATTGATGATCGTACAGAGGGCTAAACTATCCTACAAATACTATTATAATAATTATCAAAGCATCTGGCAACACTGTGCAATGTGGCGTTATTAGTTATAATGGAAAAACATGACTGGAATCTACCAGTATAGCACAGTGTAACATCCAGAAAGGGTCAATTTTCACCTTCATATTGACCTACATAGTGATCGGTCATCTACAGAAATAATTCCATTCTCTAAGCGGATTTTATATTCTATCCTCTACAACCCAGAAGATTCTGCAGAGCTTGTTGCCATTCCATGGAGACAAGATTGTCAGCCTATGTCTCCAAACAAAGCTTTCCTCTATCACTGCTGGATTCCACACTGAATGAAAAGTGAACTTTTACAACTCACAATTTAAATAATCATAAATAATCATATGGTTGAATGAACCAGATGTTATATGAATAATAATAATTTTTCAATAATATGTGCCTAATTCAGTGAAGTTGAAATGAATATTATTGCTTACAACAGTATTATACTGAAATGACTCAGAGTCTCTGGTTACTCTTTTATGGTTATTATTTTCGGGCTACTGTCGCCGTAACCCACGCCTTACAAACTCTTAACTTTTTCTAAAGAATTGCTCATAACAGAGCATTTATTAGCATAGCAAAACATCAAAAACCGGAACCAGAAAAACTTTCAGCGCTCAACTCACCTTCAAAATTAAATGTTAACCCTAACGTTTACTGTTGAAACCATTACAACATGTTTGAGTTAATTTGGCCACTCCGGCTCTCTGTAGTGGTTTCTCGATTACACGAGGGAGGGAGGGGTAAACAGAACTCCATTGGTAACCACGGTGAACAGGCTTCATGAAACATGAACGAATATCCCCAAATAATTAAAAACCATGAAGCCAAATGCAAAGTTTAGGGCAGAACATTGACCCAGGGGTTCTCAGATTGAGCAGATTTGTGAGAATACATGAAATGATCGCTTAGAGACGGAGCAAGCTAGTTGCTAGCTTATGTGGCTTGAATAGTTATATCAATATAAAGTCATCTTGTTTCTCGTTTTAAATTCAATTGATAATTTTAAAATATCTATATATTGCCCAGCCCTAGTTGTAGCCTATACTACACTGCTTACATTATTTCTGAATTTAATTTCACATTGTAAAAAAATAAATACAGTCAATTGTAGAAAGCCTCTTTCTAAGATGAATAACAAAGCATCATTGGAATAATTTAATTTCTAACCACTGAATAGACCTCTGCAGATGTCAAATATTTTGCATTTCTACACTTAATTTACCTTGACATTTCTTGATTAACTGTGGACCGAGGGATAGTCTGTTGAGGTGGTGGTGTTGTGCGCTGTGGCACAGTTTGTGTTTGTTGCGGCGGGCCCTCAGCTTGTAGATGAGCATTCAATAACACCATTAGGTTTCTCGCAACTTCTCGGATGGAACCAGTCTAAAGAAATAAAGCAAAAAACACAGAAAAAGTTGTATTTGGTTATATAGCAAATGAGAAACACCTACAAATTGAAAAAAATTGTAATTGGCTTGCACATTTATTGAAAATGTTCAAGTCTGAGGCCTACAAAGCACTTTACAAAACAGTCACACCCTTTCACATGCTTATGGTGGTGATAAGCCAGATAGTAGCTACAGCTGCCCTGGGGCACACTGACAGAGGTGGGCCTGCTGAACACTGGCACCACCGGCCCCTCCGACCACCAACAGCAGGCAAAGTTGGCTAAGTGTCTTGCCCAAGGACACAACAGCAGCACTCTCTGGTTGGAGCCGGGATGGAACCTGCTGTTTATCTGGCCCTGACTCACGCCTGTTCCCTGACCATGCACCAACCTGCTTCCCTGGATTATGTTTATGTATTTAGCAGACGCTTTTGACCAAAGCGACTTACAAGTGATAATCGGCATATTGCCCTTGAGGCTAACAACAACAACTTGACATCAGTCAGGGAGAGGAGGGAACAAGGAGTGGACAGTAGAGAGGGGGGACGGGTGCAGGGAGGGTGCTAGTTTAGAAGATGCTCTCTGAAAAGCAGGGTCTTCAGGAGTTTGTTGAAAATTGAAAAGGAAGCCCCTGTTCTGGTAGTGCTTGGTAGGTTATTCCACATTTGTGGAACGATGCATGAGGAGTCTGGATTGTCCTGAGCGTGGTGTAGGCACTGCTAGCCGACGATCCTGCGATGACCGGAGCGGCCGGGCCGAGACGTAAGCCTTTTTTATATTATATTATATTATAATTACCATGATAATCTCAGGACTAAACTTTTAATAAAGCTTTTACACATTTTATTATTTTTGGGTGTCATTACAGGTCCTCCACCTCAGCCATTACATTCATCTTCCTCTACATCTTCCTTGGTGTAACATGCAACAGTGAATTGCATCATGGTACCACAGACTGTGTAATACAACATTTCGCGCATTTCACAGAAAACAAATGGTAGTTCGCTTACACCAGAAATACAACCTTACTCATTGCTGAGATTTAAAAACAGAAACTGTTTTTGTGTTGTTACTGCTTATGTAACCCCAGACTCAGTTCGACAGGATTACAAAAATAAATAACGGGAGTGCAAAATGAAATGGCAGGAGGCAGGAATTGAGCAAAAATAGAAATTGTTATTTTGTTGGGGAAATGACTGGATTACACTCACTTAACATAGCATTAATTTTTTCAGAAACCTACCAACAGATTGAAAGCTAATTGATGCGCCAGTCGAGGCAGGTGTTGTGTCAAAATGTGTTTCCCTATCAAAAACGGTTTTCTCAAAATTTTCCATTGTTCAAGTATAACGAGTTTTACTTTTTAATAACATTCTCTTACTTTGATGACCCATTTTGTTCATTACAGCGCGAGAAAAACATTGTGATGAAACATTGTGATATATTTATGTCGATGGATGAAACACATTTTGATAGTTAGCAGTTAGACGAGGAAACAATGTTCATGGAGTAAATGCTAACGAATAAATACTGTAATGTCCAAAGAGCTAACCATTAAAAACGAAGGTGGGAATACTAAACAAAAAACATCTACACTAGGTCCAGAGCTAGCATTGGGGACGAGTGATATGTTAGGGTAAAACTCAAATCTGGTGAGGCCATTTTATAAAAGTTGTAGCTATCGTGAATAACCTAACCCACCTAGCTGTGTGCCCCTGTTGTAACATAAAATGCGAGGAGTCGTAAAAAGTAGCATAACAAAACAATTTTATGGAATAAACTGCAGCTAGTAGCCTTGAAAAATAACTTACTTGAGCCTCTTGTTGGTTCTGGTCCATTTTGCTGGTGCAGGTGGAACTCCCGCTCCAGATCAGAGCCGGCGGGTTTTAGGCAGGCTGGTAGTGCGCAGGCGCAGATGCGGCAGCCACACAGGAAAATCCACAGCGCAAAAACGAGCGCACCCCAAAGAGGTTTGTTCCCGCCCAGTCCCAAAAGTCTTTCTATTGGCTGAGCGGTTGCTAGGAGATTGTACTTCTAAGTTTTGAGCGAGAGCAGACCAGATCCGTGAGAGCAGAGGACAGACTTGTGGGAGGAGTTTTGATCCGTGCAGAGAAAAAGTTGTCACGTGAGTAGACAATACCAGTGTAAAAGGTTAAATCTGAGCGCAGAAACAAAGATTTGAAGGAGAACAGAGTGAGTTTGAAGGAGAGCAGACATTTTGAGCGCAAGCATGACAAGTTTTGAGAGCAATAATATAAAATCTTATTCTGAAATTAAAAAGTTGGTCTCTTGATATGAAATTCTGCTCTCAAATTGAAAGTTCAAGTGCTCAATTTCTGGTCCTTTAATTCTTCCACGCCTCCAGAGTGACAAAACTACCAACAGCCGAGCGAGCAGAATCAGAAACCAAGCGTGCAGAAAGGCTGCCACACGCGCAGTGAGGCTGCTGCACCGAGCGCGCAGTGAGGCTGCCGCGCGCATGTTTTCCTCTGCCGTGTGCTCGTTGCCCAACGCGCGCACGCAGGTTTGTCACTTGTGCACATCATTGTGCGCTCACAGACACAGTTTGCTCCCTCTCAGTGAACAAATGACCTCCTTGCCATGTATATTTTCACTCGTGAGTTCTAACCTCCACGCGCGAGTCCCGTTCGCACGCGCGATGTGTACAATACGCGTGCACGGGTTTTGGCTACGCTTGCACGGGTTTTGGCCACGCTTGCACGGGTTTTGGTTACGCTTGCACGGGTTTTGACGGAAACCTGACACCATAGTAGTGTAACTGCGTGACCCACACGCGGAGTGGCTAGTGTTGGGTTAAACAGAGCACGCAGCTTTTGATCTGGGAACGGCGGCGCAGCGCTCACAGAGAGCCGAGACTGAGCAGCAGGTCCGAATACATAAGGAAGCTGACTTACTGGTAGTAGCGTGGAAAGATCCCTTTCCTGGTTTGAGGGCTTGTAAGCCTGAGAACTCGGGTCGATGTCTGGTTGGAATGATGACTGAGTGATGAATGAGCGGCGGCACTTCCCTAAATAGAGTCGGCGTGATGACGTCGACGAGCCACGCTGGTGATGGGAATGCTGGGAAGTGTAGTAGTCCGCCAGTTGGGTCCATAGGGAGAGGTCAGAAGGAGGAGTTCGTGACAGGACCCCCCCCCCTCGAGGGACGGCCCCCTAAGTCCCTGGACGGCGAGCCCAGAAATCAGTCAGCAGGGCAGGGTCGAGAAACGAGCGAGCGGGTTCCCAAGAACGCCCCTCCGGGCCGTAACCCTCCCAGTCCACCAGGTACTGCCAACCACGTCCCCGGCGGCGGGCATCCAGAATCCTGCGGACAGTGTAAACACGATCCTCATCCACACAGCGGGACGGAGGCACCCGGGCCGGAGGAGGGTGGAGAGGAGAGGAGACCAACGGCTTAAGCTGGGAGACATGGAAGACGGGGTGAATCCTGAGAGTGGCCGGAAGGCGCAGCCGGTAAGTGACCGGATTGATGACCCTAAGGACAGGGAAGGGACCCAAGAAGCAGGGAGCGAGCTTCCGGGAGCCCGCCGGCATCTTCATATTGGCGGAAGAGAGCCACGCCTGGTTGCCAGGCTGGAAGACAGGGCCAGGCCGGTGGCGGCGGCGATGCTGACAGGAGTACTCCACGTTGGTCCGGGTGATGGCCGCATGGGCCCGGATCCAGGCAAGCCGACAGCGGCGGACCAGAGTCTGAGCAGCAGGAACCTCCACTTCAGGCACCTGGTGGCTGAACAGTGGGGGCTGGTACCCATAACATGTCTCGAAGGGAGACAGGCCCGTGGCAGAGGAGGTCTGGAGGTTGTGGGACAGTTCTGCCCACAGGAGGAAGCGGGGCCAGGTGGATGGCTGGGATGAGGCGAAGCAGCGTAAGTAACGTCCAAGCTGCTGGTTGGCTCTTTCCGTCTGACCGTTAGTCTGCGGATGGTACCTGGAGGACAGACTGGTTCAAGCGCCGACCAAGCGACAGAAGGCCCTCCAGAAGCGTGAGACGAACTGGGGTCCTCGGTCAGATACCACGTCCTGGGGGAAACCATGGAGCCGCACCACCTGTTCAAGGAGCAGTTCGGCCGTTCTCTTGGCAGTGGGGAGGCCGGCCAGGGCCACTAGGTGCACGGCCTTTGGGAAGCGGTCAGTGATGGTGAGTATAGTGTCCAGGTGGTCGACGGCGGGCAGTCCCGTGACAAAATCCAGACCGATGTGCGACCACGGCCGCTTGGGCACGGGGAGTGGTTGCAAGTCCCCGGCGCCAGGTTGGTTGGAGGACTTGGACCGGATACATACATCACATGCGGCAGTGAACTTGTGTACATCCTTCCTCATAGAAGGCCACCAGAGAGCCCGACGGAGGAACTGGAGGGTGCGGGCTTGGCCTTGATGTCCAGCGAGTTGTGAACAATGCCCCCACGTCAGTGCCTCCCATCGGCAGGCGGTCGGAATGTAGAGGCGGTTCGGGGGAGTCTCTGGGGGTGCCGGATCAGCAGGGAGAGCAGCCCGGATGGATTGTTCCAGAGGCCATTGGAGGGAGGCCAAGAAGCGTTGAGCCGGCAGGATGGTCAGAGGCTCCGGAGGGCTTGTATCCTGCAAGAAACGCCAAGAGAGAGCGTCCGCCTTGAGGTTCTTGGAGCCGGGTCGGTAGGCGATGTGGAAGTTGTACGGCTCAAAAAAGAGGGCCCACCGAGCCTGGCGAGGATTGAGTTGACGGGTAGTCTGAAGGTGTATTAGGTTCTGATGGTCGGTCCAGATAAGGACCGACCACCGACTGGTGGCCCTCCATGTATAAGGACGTCCGTGAGTACATCAGTGCCTGTTCAATCTGTGCCCGAAACAAATGCAGTAATCAACCTCCAGCTGGTCTTCTCTCTCCTCTTCCTGTATCCACTCGCCCATGGTCCCACATAGCTTTGGATTTTGTTACCGGTTTGCCCTCCTTTAATGGTTTTTCAGTCATTCTCACTATTGTAGATCGTTTCTCCAAATCCTGTCACCTGGTTCCTCTCAAGTCTCTCCCATCATCTGCCGAAACAGTCAGCCTTCTAATCAAACATGTCTTCCGTCTCCATGGTATTCCAGCAGAGATCCTGTCTGACCATGGCCCTCAATTCCTGTCCCGCGTTTGGAGAGACTTCGCCAACCACCTGGGGGCCCGTGTCGCCCTGAGCTCCGGGTTCCATCCTCAGACAAATGGGCAATGTGAGAGGATGAATCAGGAGCTCGAAGCCATGTTACAATGTGTGTGTTCCTCCAACCCTTCGGGATGGAGTTCCCAACTACCTTGGGTGGAATACGCATACAACGCTCACACCTCTGCATCTACAGGTTTGTCCCCATTTGAAACCGTTCTAGGTTACCAGCCCCCTCTATTCCCGTCCAGTCAGGACCCTCCTACCACAGCCCCCCAGTTCATTCGCCGTGCCAGGCACACCTGGGCTCAGACCACGGCGGCCCTTCAACGGACAGCTGACCGCAACCACCGTCTGGCAGATCGCCACAGACGACACGCTCCTGTGTATGTCCCTGGGCAGAAGGTCTGGCTCTCCACCAGGAACATCCGGCTAAGGGACACCAGCAAGAAGTTGGCTCCTCGGTTCATTGGTCCTTATCCTATCACAGACGTCATAAGCCCCTCCACTGTCCGCCTGGCCTTGCCTCCATCCATGAGAGTCCACCCTGTATTCCACATCTCCCTGGTGAAGCCCGTTCTGTCCAGTCCCTTGTGTCCTGCCCCCGCTCCTCCTCCACCTGCCTGGCTTGTCACCGGTGGCCTGGTTTATCCGGTCCATCGTCTCCTCGATGTCCGTCCCCGTGGCAGGGGCCGCCAGTACCTGGTGGACTGGGAGGGGTATGGTCCGGAGGATAGTTCCTGGGTTCCTCGTTCCTTCATCACTGATCCGGATCTCATCAGAGACTTCGAGGCCTCTCGGGCCTCCTCCTCCTCTGCTCGGCCGCCAGGTGGCGGCCATTGGGGGGGGGGGGGGGGGGGGATGGGTACTGTCACGGTCCGTGGTGAGTCTCCCGCATGTAACCTGTTTTCTCTGAGTATTGTTTCAGGTGGGCGCGTCTGAGAGCCACCAGCTGCAGCTGATCTCATCATCAAGGCCCAGGGGATTTAAGGAGCAGTGTGACACTTCACCACGCCGGATGATTGCTCAGTTTTGGGTAGCTCTAGCCTCTGACCCGTTTTGATCCTGTGTTTTTCTAGTTCCAGTTTGTTTACCAGATCTTGAGAAATATTTGCTGGATTTCCTGTCGACCAGAAAAGACCCTGATAACTCTTCCCTGCTCTGCTCCAGGTTTTCACTCCACACTCCACTATCTCCATATCAGCTCGGATTCTTGTACTTCAGATCACGCTGTCTCCTCCCCTGGCCGCCCGCTCTCAGCTGCTCACCTGCCCTTGCCAAGCCTCCGCTCCTGCCTCCCCTCTGGTTCAACAGTTCCTCCTCCTTCTGGAGCCTTCCTGCTCACCCGGACCTGACCTAGCCCTTCCAGTGGCTCTCACCACTATCTACATCAGTAAGCTCCACTCCTCAGATTATCCTCCATCATTCCCTCCATATACTCACTCTTTCTCCCTCCTCAGAATCCTCTCCTGGAGTCTTGCTGCCAGCCTGCACGTCGTCTGTTCCCGTTCCTCTCATTTAATAATAAAGAATGTTTTACTTACTTGCCGGTTTCTTGTGATGATTCTGCATGTCGTGGGTCAGGAAACTCTCACCCAACATGACAGAATCATCCGGCCATAACGTTGACCCCATTGCAGAATCCAACCCGTCCTCTAATGCTCCGCTCGCTGTTTCAGAGATACTCACATGCCATGAACACGTCATCCATGGCTTACTGGAGCAAGTCTCCGACTCCCACCGATGATTACTCCAGATGGAAACTATGTTACGCAATCTCACTACTCACTTAACTCCCCCGGAACCTTCAGTTCAGCAGCCTCCAGTTTCTCCTCCGTCCGCACTTCCGGTTCCGCCTCCTGCTGTAAACTTCCGGATACCCAACTCTCCCCCTTCAGACATCTATTCCGGTGAGTTCGGCAAATGCCGCGGATTTCTCTTTAATTGCCAGTTAGCTTTTGAAAGAACGCCTGAAGCTTTCACATTAGACTCAGTAAAATTTCTTATATTATCGGGCTACTCCATGGTAAGGCTTTAGATTGGGCTGAAGCCAGGAGCCATGACTCCAGTTTTCTGTGCGGTCTGCTCTCACAATTCCTGACTGAAGTTAATCAACGTTTGATCATTCTGAGTCCCCAGCTGAGGTAGCAAAAAGGGTGTGGAATCTCCGTCAGGGAAACCAAACGGTAGCAGATTTCGCCATAGAATTCCGCACGCTGGCAGCAACTTCCTCACTAGATCGAGGTTCATTACTGGGAGCATTCACCCAGGGATTAAATGACCATCTCCAGGATCAATTGGCACTATGCCAGGAACCCCCCGACCTAGAAGCCCTTATAGCCCTGGCCATAAGAATTGAAAAATGCCTCAAGGATCGTTCTAAGGGTTCTAGAATGCCATATTTACCTCTAACTCAAACCAGAACTTCTCAGCCACCAGTTGCATCATCTTCTGGAGAAGAGCCTATGCAGATCGGCAGAACCCAGTTAAGCCAGGAGGAGCGGCAACGTCGTTTCTCCGCTAACCTTTGCCTCTATTGTGGTCAGCCGGGGCACAGAATCTCGAATTGTGGCTTACGGTTAAAAGGTCAAGCCCACCAGTAGTTCCGGGATTACT